TTTATTAGGACAGCGCCCAACACCCACACAATACAATAATAGCTAACCACTGCAGTAAGCTTCGTCACTTCCATCAGTACAATCATCATCTCCGTCACACACGTATCTTCGTCTATGCAGCACCCATTGTGACACTGGTACTGATAGGTGTAGCAGTTTCCTGCAAACGTTACCAAGCACATGATTTTTACATGGGCGAACAAAAAAGACTGATAATTTTTTGAGATAATAACAGCCTCCTACTAACTTAAGGTACACATTTTGCGTAACTTTTCCGTAGCGCGTTTGAACCCCCAGCTTGTCGTAATACTTGCCACGCCTTCTCCGTATTCTTCGATTTTTGCCCGTAAATTGGTGTAATATTTTACGAGCCTGAGGTTACCGCATATTGTGCAGTCACTTTCGTCTGCCCCATATTCACAATCGTCGTCTCCGTCACATATATAGTCCTCTGTCGATGCATCTCCGTTGTCGCATTCGAACTGCCAACTGGGAACAGTAACCTGCGTGCGTTCAGTGCGGTGCGTGAAATGACATCAATCCCTCAGTACACAACGCAATACTGCTCTCGTTCCGTCACCGTTGCAGCTGTCTGCTAGGACAAAACCAGCAAGAACGGTAGGCAAAGACGACTCCACATCACCGTCTTTCACAAATCGTTGCTTGCCCCGGTGCCCCCACTCGCGATCACACACGTGCTGCGCAGCTAACTATAGCTCTAGCCACACACACACCGACCGACACCATGCGCGCGCACGCACGCGCCCGCAAACGAATTGTGCGCATGCGTACATCGCCGCGTGCTCCAAGAGCTATAATATAGGGGAGACACAATAACTGTCTACATAATGCAATTGCAATAGTTTGTAAAAAAGTCAGCTCCTGATTACTGCAACAGGTACGGTGGCGGTAAGCCTGCGCGGTATCATAGGCTGAGGCGTGTAAGCAGCAGACTGGGTGGGTACTGCTGCATTGGCTGAGAATAACTGGTGGATAGTCAGTTTTCACGCCTTCCTGAAAAAAAACAGAGAATTACTACAGCTTAACTCGAATAAGCGGAGACCTGAAATAGACTTGCACACTGTTCTAACAAGGACACCCCTAAAAAAGGATTATGATTTTGCATACCTACAAGTATACTGCCCAAATAAAGAAAAAAACACACTCTAATGGACAGAAAGGAATGATAGAAAAGCACTGAAGTGCAAACCTCGGCGCTCACTGTGGACGCGCACGCGTAAGTAACGCATGCGCCGTACCAGCTAATGATGGGCTGGGTTTAGTTTTGTGCTGGTACTCGCTTGGTCTCTTGCCAGCTGTCGCGCAGAGTCTGACGCGGGCTATACACTACTAGGGATAGCATGCGAGAGGCGATACACGCCTGCGTTGCATCTTCTGGTGCCTCCGACGGTACGCAGAGAGCACGCGGATATCGATCATGCTGTAGTAAGCCGTGATGTGTATTGCCTATTGGCTCTTCGCGCTCTCTAGCTCTGCCAACGAGCGTTTTCAGGGACAAACAACACTATTTTCTGACCTTCATTGCCCGTTGCAGAAGTGGTATCCTTTGTGAGACGAACGAACATCGAGAGTGAGATGACGAGTGAACAGACAGACAGACAGCACGTCACACAACCCATTGAAAGCACTAAGTGCAAACCGCGGCGGAACTGGCATGCGAGGGACCACATGATTGATGGGCTGGGGCTGCTATTAGTATGCGTTTACTCGTGGTCTCCCGCTAGTAGCTCGCAGAGATTGACATCGGGCTAGCTACAGTAGTAGATAGCATGCGAGAGTCGATACACGCCCTTCGTTGGACTTCTGTGCCTTCAAGACCACAGAAACAAGCGGCGAACCCCCGGTTCGAGGCTGTTGAAAATATAAGCGCATGCGGTTTTCCGTTAAGGAAATTCGCCCGTTCACTTTTAAAGGCTCGCGTGTTCTGAAGCCGGTGGGTTTATCGCTAATAGGCCGCCTCGTAGCCTGAGTGCAGAATAAGCGTAACACACACAGACAGACGACAAAGCAACCTCTCTGCGTATGCACGCACGCGCGCCGAGGATAACGCAGCGACAAAAATGGCCCGACTACGAATTAGGCCGTACAATGTGGAATGAGCGGAGTTCGGAGCGATGTAGCGCACGGGAAGGGGGTAGGGCAAAGAGAAGATGGAGAGAGAATGAAGAACAAAAGAAGAGGAGAGTGGGAGAAGGTTGGACGCTGTGAGGGGAGGAACAAGAGTTTCGACTTCATGCCGTTAAGTAGGGGTCGTATCGTTTTGAGACGAACAGGGACGTTCCAGAAGTGAGATGAGGAGTAACAGAAGACAGAAAGACAAACTCAACTACTGTACCCCCCCTCCCCCCCCCCCCCCCCCGCTGCGCTTGCGGCCCGAGGGTAACTACAGTACCCTCGCTGCGGCAGGCGCGCCGGGTGGGGTACTACATAACCCTCGCTGCCGCATGCCCGCCGGGGTTAAAAAGCCGGATATGAGATGACTAAGGTATGCAGAAAAAAAACAAACCATGGCATGGTGTGTGACGACAGCCAGTTGCCGCGCGGAGGGAACCCTCGCTGGGGGGTGGACAGTTGTAGTGACAACCTGATTCACCACCGAGGGCGTGTTGGAGAGGGCCAGCGATACGCAGATAGCAGGACCACATATGGCGATGGGGATAACCACACAGAAGAGGTGAATGAAGAAGAAGACGAAGAGACAGACGCGAGACAATAGCCAGACCTGCAGCTGGGTGTGTGTGTGTGGGAGGGAGAAAGCGAAATGGGGGAAACTTCCATACCAGACTCATAGAATCCAGACTCCGTTTTATTAATATAGGTTACACTACACCACTCAAAGGTTAGTGGACACTACACTACTCCTGCGCATGTGAGTGTATGCTGCGTCAGCAACCATACACCATGGCAAGCATACTAATGAGTTGTCTTCGTGCGCATACACTGCGTGCGGTGCCTTTGATGACAACAGTTTGTTTCGTTTCGTTTCTATCCGTAACAGTATACGCATGCCTAGTACATAAATCACGCAGTTTACAAGCTTGTTTGTTGCTGTCTGTTTACCCCACATGGTTCTATGTTAGAAAGGAGAAAACGCTAGAAAGAAGAAAAACAGTTCTACCAGTGGGATTTGAACCAACAATGAAGGTTAGAATTACTCCAGTACATCAGGAGACACAATGGCACATAGCTGCATCAATCAACTCTAGTGTGTACAGCGCAACCTATTTCAGTGCAGCAAGTTATCACAGAGAGCAGTGGGTTCCCTTTAAACCTGTGGTTTTGTGCGTTTTCAATTCCCAAATCAAACATGAGCAACCCAGAACACCATTATACACATTAACAAAGTTCATAAAGACAGCGTTGAGGATGTGTTTTAAATTAACCTACCGAGCAGCGTCGGCACATTCCATCTTCATCGCTACCATCATAACAGTCGTCATATCCGTCACATACGCCAGAGTCGCTATACACTGCCCGCTGTCACACTCATACTGTAGCTGTAAACAGTAGCCTGGGAGATGTGTGATGATAGAGCAATAGGTATACTACTGAGGTCTTGTGACCACACAAACGCAGCACATGTATAAGTATACATAAATCCGGCAGCAGAAATTATTTTGGTACAGGTTGGTTGTGTAGTATACTCTAAGACATTACAGGAGTGTTTAGAGAATTATGCGCCCTCACTAGGTAGCTGATGTATGCAGTGCAGCCCGCTGAACCCCATTGCCTCTTCCCAGGTTTCCCCCCTTGGGCCGGACCACCACACCATCACACAAAACGGCCTGGGAACGAAGCTAGCTATATATAATTCCATCCAGCGCTACAGTAAAGGACAGGTCCTTCTGCTTTAAAGCTTCATATTCCTCAGACAGAGGAAGTGTCACTAACCTTTGGATAAACAGATGTACAGGAAAAGGTGTGGGTCACGGGTGTACACATTATAAGGGCTCTAGCTATATTTAGAAAATGTTACTAAAATTGGAGAGTGAAAGAATGCAATTGGTATAATAGCTATGTGCAGTTTCATACACACATGACCAGGCTTATATAGCTACTACACAAGTAAGAACTTTTACCCCATTATTTTTTGACACAGACACTGAGATCTAAAAATGTCTACAGACTCTTTAGCCACATTGGTGTGTTTGCTCTGTATTACATGGAGACAAGAGAGGCGTATTATAAGAGAACATACCACAGCCTTCCTCATCACTTCCGTCAGGGCAGTCGTTGAAATTGTCACAGCGATCAGAAGAAAACGTTGTGCAATGACCATTGTCACACTCGTACCCAGAACACCGCGACTGTGCTGTATATATAGAGAGAAAACGCGAGGAGCACGAGAAGGAGAGAAGGAGAGAAGGAGATCGAGACACACTATATATATTAAAGACACCAGAAAGCGAGAGCGCCAGAGTTGACACTTCGTTTTTGTTTGCGCGCTAGCTAGCTATGTATACCTCGATCTCAACACACACGATTCAAAAGTACACCGCGCGATAAAGTCTCCGCTAAGCCGTCTCTGCTAAGCCGTCGCGGCTGGGCGCCGGCGCTGAATTCGCGTAGCAACTTACCGTTCACGGACGATGCGACCAGAAGGCTAGCAAACAATAGAAACACGGCTACTCCCTTCATCCTTTCGGGTTCGGGTGGCTGCTCTTGAGATATTCAACTAGGTGGTAGAAATGTGCTACGAACACGGCACACCCTGTAGAAGTATTTGTCACGATACTGAGTACGACGCATGCGCAGTGATTTTATAGTACCGGTCTTCTTCAATTAGCATTAATGAGGCGCGCAAAGCAAGGCAATTGTGTATACGCGCACACACCACACATGTCGCTGGTGGCATGATATCAAGCTGCAGTGTCCATTCCAAACTGACTAACCGTAACCTTTGCTCCTCCATCCCACACACACACACACACACCCACACACGCAGATTGTAATTGGGTAACATCGTTGTTTATTGATCATTTCTCGTTCTCAATTTTGACGTTGTTATTTCGACTCATGCATGGCATAAAAGTGTCTGCATACTAGCTGCTACATGTTGTCAATGCATTACTGTGAGAGTTAGAATCTTATACTAAGCTACTGAGGAGGGTAGGGTGTCTGGCCAGGAGGTGGGTAGGCGGCATCTTGTGGAGGGTAAGCAGCAGGATAAGGCTGGGGAGGATAGGCATATCCAGCACCATAGGCCGGCGGATACTCCGCCTGCATCTCAGTTGCCTGCAACACAACAAGTCTTAAATCAATGAGATCATCGAATGAACAAAATCGCAATCATTGCTGTTTTTGCAGCTATATAGCTTCCCACTCCTCCTCCTCCCTCTTTTGCTCCCTCTTTGTTCCCTTCTCTCCCCCACCATCCCCCTTTTCATATTTCTCTCTTTTCTCTCTCCTTCAGTGTTTTTCGTCTCTATTGGCTACTCACAGTGGTGGCGGTAGTTGCAATGACAGGAGAGGTACCAACGTTGACAGGTGTAGTCTGAATGGTCGTCGTAGCTCTGCCTGACCCTGAAGCAGCTGCCCCAAAGACTCCAGCCACGCAAAGCCAGATGCAGACGCACAAAACGATGGGTGCAATGACGCAGAAGAGGATGAAGAAGAAGACACTCAGGCCAATGGCAAGACCAAGGTCCACTGTATATATATACAATAAAGACAGTCACACTGCAGAGAGAAATGCTGTATATAACTTGCAAGTTTTGAGTGAGAACCTAGTAGCTAAAGATGGTAAAATATCTTAGACCAATATGCAAGATGTATGATGTTCCATGACAAAGGTTGGCAGTACAGCTATCAATACACACACTCACGGAAGAGAGAGGTTAATTTTTATACTAAAATGGTAAAAGAGTACTACTATAATAAGTAAGGCGTGGTTTACTATAGAGGAATACTTGTATTCATAATGTTTCCTCTAAAGGAAATGAACAACTCACACGTGCATGAACCACACGCGCAATGTCTCAAAATCAAATGAATAACACTGACACGAATCTCTCCAGTGATGAATAATTACAACAGTGGGTCTAACAATAATTATCTTTGAGGTTGGAGTATTGCTGCATGGACCAGCCTATCCAGTACACTGATTCAGGAAAATATAAAATACTATCGTGTTTGTGTGCAACAACACAGGACTGAGGATTGAGGAAGTGGCAAAATGGACGAGAGAAAGAAGACAAGAAGACAATTTTTAAAAGAAGTAGCTAGTGCAAAAATTGGGTGTAGCTGGGAATCCACTTACCGCAGCCTTGTTCATCACTTCCGTCAGCGCAGTCGGCGATATTGTCACAGCGATCAGAGGAAAATGATGTACACTGACCATCGTCACACTGGTATCCAGAACATTGAGCTACAGAAAGCGCACAGTTCGTCAGCAAAAGGTGTATGGATCTGTCGCTACAGCACAGGCATCCCCAGCCTGTTCAGGTTCTTTTATTTAACGCCAAGCTAGCGCAGCAAAGTGCAGGACATGGCACACCCCCGCCCCATTTTGCTGATACGCAAGTTGCAACATACCGTTTACGGATGCGACCTGGACTGCGGCCAGGAGGCCATAGAACAAGAGAAATGCAGCTACTCCCTTCATCTCTCCACTGACCCGAGATTTGCGACTACTAGCTAGCTAGCTTTGAGAGGACACACGCCCTGAAATATCTGCGCATGCGCATAAAAATGAGCGCGTGGAATTATGCATGCTAATCTATTTACCAAAAGTCTACGGGGCAGGCTAAATGCATACACAAACTAAAAAACACACGTACATTACTTATAATCATGTCTGTGTGCTAATTAGTGTCAGTCACTAAAAACTAGTCACAGGACTCAAGTTATGGCCACAGACACAACCAGTAATATAGGAGTCTGCTACTAGTAGGGCGGCGGCTGCACACGTTGCTTTGGTGGGACGACTGGTGGATATTGCTGCATTGGTTTGGGGTATACCGAAGGAGGATTGGCAGCCTTCAGTTCTTCCTGTTCCGACAAAGAAATATAGAAATATGCTATATAACTTAACGACATATTGTTCTGCCACATGCTTTACATTGGTTTTTATTTACTCTGAGAAAAAACACTTTCGATGTCCCTATATTAAGAGTTTTATTGTATGATAATTCTTAACCCCCATACACCCCTGCCTAAGTACATGAAAATGGGCTTCCTGAGAAAAATAAACTGTGATAATGGAATTGCGAAAGATAACAAACCGCTGGAGTTTCAATGAAAACAGTAGTGGCCGGGCCATCAGGTACAGCAGTAACTGATGTTCGACTAGTTGGTACAGTGGCAACAGTCTGAATGGTGGTCGATCCACCACTCAGAACTTGTCTGAGAGGACCAGCCACACAGTAGTATACCAGGACACATATGGCGATGGGGATAACCACACAGAAGAGTACAAAGAAGAAGACAGACAGACCAATAGCCAGACCTACTGCAGCTGTGGAAAAGAAGATAATTATGCACGTGTCTACGTTCCCTCGCTAACCATTTAAACACAAAAAGAAAATTACGTCTTATGTAGAACAAGAATAATTATTTCATATGATGTATTAATTACCAGCGCATCCGTCCTCGTCACTACCATCGTAACAGTCATCCGTTCCATCACATTCATAGGAGCTACTGATGCACTGCCCACTGTTACACTCAAACTGGTAGCTATAGCAGGTACCTGTGAGTAATGACACTTTTCAAATCGTCACGTCCTAATTTGGTGTATATAGCTACACACTGCAACAGCTAGCCAGTCCACGGAGCTCAGTACAGCTGAAATGGCTAAGTTGCTAGCAAATTGTTCAACTTACTGGAAGAAGTGCTGCAACCTATTTCATCACTTCTGTCAAAGCAGTCATTATATCCATCGCAGCGATCGCTGCGGCTCACGCAACGTCCGTTGTTACACTCGTACAGGGAGCTGCGACAGTAGCCTGCAACAAAACAGTGTTTTCTTGAAGCCTCAGTCTCACTTCATGATTGTTAAGATTGACTTACCACTGCAGCCGACAGCCAGGCCAATGACAAGAAAAGCCAGGCAAATGATCTTGCCCATTTCCTTGGCTCTTACTCTCGTTCTATAATCAACTGCAGTAATTGTGATGGGTACTACTGGCTTTTAGGCTCCTATTCCACCAACCCACACAGTCTGATTCATGCACTTCACACCGTTTCAGTTTCAGAGTACAATCCATCATCCACAAAGACTGTGGCGTCTAATCCGGGCACCAATGGAACAGAAGAATATCTCCATTACTATTATTACCACGTGTCCTTATTTGGGGTTAAAATAATTATGAAATCCGAGCTGACCTTAAACTTGGCGCATGTGAGTTAATAATTGTTTTTATCAGAAAGGGTGGATATGGCTAACTACACCCACATGTGTGGTATTCTACACATGCATGAACAGGCCACCGTTCATGAATATACAACTACGTCTAAAGCTATAATAAAAGAGTGTCAATTATTTATCTATCTATAGAGAATGTAAAAGCGTTCAGGAATTAGGCACAGTAGCCAGCTGAAGCAATCTGCTGCTACTGGACTGGATAGAGTGGTGGCTGCACTGGTGGATACTGCTGCATTGGCTGGGGATACGCAGGGGGAGGGTAGGCGGCCTTCACTTGTTGCTGTTGCTGCAGAGAGAACGATATGCCGTCACACAACGGGTCACACCTGACATTATCTCAGGTGGGGATGGAGTTGGGACTAGCTATTTTAATATTTTTACACAGGGGGGATTCAAGGGAGGTAGGATTAGCAATGCGAAATAAGGAAAAGTGCTTGTATTATGACAGCGGACTGGTTGGAACCCAGCTCCTCGTTCTTCGGGGAAGAAGGAGTTGTTCTGGGTGTTGTTGCATTGCCTTTGCCTGCATTATGACAATCGGAGGTTTGTAAAATAGCCAATCTCTTCTGCCCTATCTACCTAAAACTATAATTATAGCTTTCCTCTGAGAATTCTAAAAGTAACAAACCACTGTATTTGCAGTGACAACAGTAGCGCCAGTGGCTGGTGCTGTGGTAACAGTATTCACGGTCGTTGGTCGACTGGCCATTGCATAGTGGAGAGGACCAGCAACACAGCAGTATATCAGGACACATATGGCGATGGGGATAATCACACAGAAGAGGACGCAGAAGAAGACAGAGAGACCAATAGCCAGACCTACTGCGGCTGTGGAAAAGATTATTTTCAATAGCAAAACTGACAGAAAGACTGTCAACATTTGCCAACATGTCCTATACTCATGCTGGGGGGGGAGGGGGTGGGGTTGTTTCGGTCGAATACCATTATTTTTGCCAACAGTTTCGTTTCGTTTCAGTATACGCAGTGCCTAGTACATAAATCACGCAGTTTACAAGCTTGCTTTGATTGCGGTTTTGATTCCCTTTGCTGTCTGTATTACCCCACATGGTGTTATGTTAGAAAGGGAGAAAAACGCTAGAAAGAAGAAAAACCAGTTCTACCAGTGGGATTTGAACCAACCAATGAAGGTTAGAATGTACTCCAGGTTCACCAGGAGACACCATGGCACATAGCTGCAATCAACTCTAGTGTGTACAGCACAACTTCAATTTTCAGTGCAGCAAGTTATCACAGAGAGCAGTGGGCTTCCCTTTAAAACTGTGGTTTTGCGCGTTTTCAATTCCCAAATCAAACATGAGCCAACCCAGAACACCATTATACACATTAACAAAGTTCATAAAGACAGCCGTTGGGGATGTGTTTTAAATTAACCTACCAGCAGCGTCGGCACATCCATCTTCATCGCTACCATCATAACAGTCGTCATATCCGTCACATACGCCAGAGTCGCTAATACACTGCCCGCTGTCACACTCATACTGGTAGCTATAACAGTAGCCTGGGAGATGTGTGATGATAGAGCAATAGGTATACTACTGCAGGTCTTGTGACCACACAAACGCAGCACATGTATATATAAGTATACATAAATCCGGCAGCATAAATTATTTTTGGTACAGGAGTTGGTTGTGTAGGTAATACTCTAAGGAATTACAGGAGTGTTTAGAGAAATTAATGGCGCCCTCACTAGGTAGCTATGTATGCAGTGCAAGCCCGCTGAACCCCATTGCCTCTTCCCAGGTTTCCCCCCTTGGGCCGGACACACACACCATCACACAAAACGGCCTGGGAACGAAGCTAGCTATATATAATTCCATCCAGCGCTAAAGTAAAGGACAGGTCTTCTGTAAAAGGTTTTCAAGGTGTCCGCGTGTCGTTTACTGTACACTAGTTTACTCTACACACCGAACTCCGCCGTCCAGCAAGAAGGCGCACAGACTGGCTATATATCAGTTGAGGGAGCGCAAACTTACTGTAGGTGGTACAGCCACTTTCGTCGCTCCTGTCGCTACAGTCATAATCTCCGTCGCAGCGGTAGGAGCTGCTTATGCAGTAGCCACTGTCACACTCAAATTGGTTGCTGTAACAGTAGCCTGCAGTGTGAGAGAAAAGGTGGTCAGCATTTTCAGGGCCGTTCAACCGACGGCGGCTGTGTTACGGTAATTCGCGGTTGGCGTACCATTGCAGCCGACGGCCAGAGCGATGATCAAGAAGGACAAGCAAAAAATCTTCGACATTTTCTCGGTCCAGTCGTCTTCCTCGTGCGTGGTCGCAGCCGACGGCGGTGCGTACGTGCATGCAGCGATAATAAAGGGTGCGCCGCCGCGCGCGCATAATTATACTGCTAAATCAATCATAATGCATGCGGAAAAAACTACAGTGTCAATATAATTGTCAAGCTGGAGCTAGAGATAGCAGCAGCTACCACACAGTTTCAAGGTTCAGCTGCAGTGGGTAATTTGCTGTCTGCAGGAGAGTACACCAGAGGTGGGGGCTGGTAACCTCCGACCATCGCAGCTGGCTGGTTAGTAGCACCCAGCTGCTGTTGCTGAGGAGGTGGTGGGTACTGATGTAGAGGTTGGATGTGTCCTACTGGCTGATAACCACCTTTCACTGTTCCCTGATACGAGAAAGATATTACTCTCACAGAGAGAAATTGAAAGGAAGAAGGTGTGAACACACAAAGTAAAGTCTACTTCAAAGAGGGAACAAAACTCAAAAGAGAAAATGAAGTGCATGCAAGGAACGGTAGAAATTCAGATAGAGAGAACTAAAAACTGGTATCATACCTAAAGTGGAGTCGTGTTACAACGAATTGCTAAAGACCTAAAAATGTGTTCAAAGTGAGCCAGAGTCAGTGGGGCAAGAATGTACGGTGTTCTATGGGGCTTTAGACCGCAGTCACGCGCAATTGACCAATCAGATTACAGAATTGCGGGGGGTTTATTTTTCATAGACACCTCGTTTCAGGTGTCTAATGGCGTTTGCAGGTGGTCTACAGCAAACTCCCCGTACAAAATGGCTATTCTCAAAAGTCGTTATCTGCGCAAACCGGCCGATTCCGCGTTCGGTATATGTAAGCGTAGAAGGGCGACTGGCAAAGTAGCTCTTTTAAAATGCGTAGTGCACCTGCAAGAAGTCTGTGGACAGTCTCCGGAGCTCGCGAAAGTCAGAAATCACGTCAATATTCCACGAAAAAAGCGTCGGCTTCTTTAGCTCTGGCGATACACAAACACATTGGGCCGTTGCCGTGCGTTGCTAACCCTTTCAAACGCGCACCACCAATGAGGGCGTTTTATGATGACGTAAACGATTTTTGACGGGGGGCGGGGGCTGTCTCCTCGGAGTCTCACACGTAAAAAAAAGCGTCTTGTTCCATCCGAAGGTAAGGAATGAGGAATGAGCGCAGCGTTGCTAGCTTTGTTGCTACCCATTTGAACGCGCAAACACCAATCAGATACTCCGGTCTAAACCGGTTAGACGCGGAAGCTCGGTTGTCTACGCAACATTGCAACCCTCGGGGCATGTGGGTAGCGCCCTCGCTGCGCTCGGGACGCCAACATTCCACAGCCCCTCGGGTTGCAATGTAGCGTAGACACCTCGCTTCCGCGTCTAACCTATATTTAGTGCATAGCTGATTCGAATCGACCAATCAGATTTGTTAGTACGAGGTTCCTGATTTCTCATATGAACCTCGTGAGCTAACAAAAGTAATATGAAAACATGATATGAAACCTTGTTTTTTCTGTTCATGTAAGAAATGTATCCCGCAAAACATGATCTGTACAAAAATGTTGATCAAAATAACTGATATCTTGATTTTCTTTTTCCACGAGACAGTTTTCTGTGTCTGCTTTGAGCCCATCTCCCTCCTTGCCATGTATATACAGGCAGCTCACGCCCGCCACAAACCACCGCACGCAAATAAGGGGGTGGGGCTCCGCGAGCGAGTGCGCGCGACAAAGCTACTAAGTCGACGGCGAACGCCTTCGGTATAGCAGCCCGCACAGCGCCTGAATTCGCCTCTCTCTGATTGCGATGGTCGCGCAGGTCTCCTGTCGCGTTTCTTCGGATGAGTGGCGGAGGACAGTCCCGCAGCGGGAGTAGCTGGAGTGGCGGAGCAGCGTATCCTAGCGTTCGGCGTTCAATAGTCCCGCACGAGATGACGGTCTTGCGCTCTCGTCTCTTTCTCGCATCTTTCAAATTCCCTGTGCTTGGAAACGCAATGCGCGTATACGGCGCTGATTTGCTCCGCACTAAACATGTTATGTACTCCGTATACTCGGGACATACCGGATTTCAATGAACCCGAGGGCCTCCGCGTTTGTAGTGTCCCGAGCGCAGCGAAATCCGGTATGTCCCTCGAACGTAGTACATAACATACAAGTAATAAAAGAATCCTGCGGATTAAAAAAAGAGTGCATATAGGGATCGTATAAAAAGAAAGGGAGACAAGATAGGGATTGTGTTTGTGGAAGCACAGAGATGCTAGCGAGGAGTTAGGACTCCCACAGGTCATTACAACAGCCCTATATCGTCGTATCGGTGCTTTACTACTTCCTCGTGAATATATCAGCCAACCTTGCATACTTGAATTTTGTTTTCTTGCGTTACACAATTTTTCCATGTTTCCATGTATAAACATGTATATCCAATGTTATGGTCAGCTGATTACACTTCCACCTAAATGCGCACTCCATGGAAATGTAGCATGACAAATCTATCAAAGGTAATTAGTAAGTACTTCATTACCTATAGCAATATTCTACAGACTCTCTCATCACTCCCACTCCCACCCTACGAAGAAGATTGAAAACTTTCCCTATCATAGCCCCATACATCTATGATGCTAGGTATTCCCACCGTACGACGATATAGGGCTGTTGTAATGACCTGTGGGAGTCCTAACTCCTCGCTAGCATCTCTGTGCTTCCACAAACACAATCCCTATCTTGTCTCCCTTTCTTTTTATACGATCCCTATATGCACTCTTTTTTTAATCCGCAGGATTTTTTATTTACTTGTACAATAATAAATCATACATGAATCAGTTAGTGATGATTATTACCGAGACCGCAGTTGTCTTCATCACTCCCATCAAAGCAATCGACATTTCCATCACAAACATCCTCCTTCTCCACACACTGTCCATCATCACACTCGGACTGGTAACTATAGCAATAGCCTGACAGAAAAAACAATAGAAAGTCAAGAACAACAACGCTGCAGGGTTAGTCCTCATTTCATTGGTGTACTTAGAGAGGGCGTTCCACTGTATCAACAACACAAGCAAACTATAAACACCAAAGACAACTCAAGGTATATATATAGGCCTCTAAGATCGACAATTCTCCATTGCCTAATGTGTTATTTATTCGGAGGTAAAAATAGGCTTACAGTTGATTTATTAGGACAGCGCCCAACACCCACACAATACAATAATAGCTAACCACTGCAGTAAGCTTCGTCACTTCCATCGTAACAATCATCATCTCCGTCACACACGTATCTTTCGTCTATGCAGCGCCCATTGTGACACTGGTACTGATAGGTGCTCAGCAGTTTCTGCAAACGTACCAAGACATGATTTTTACATGGCAACAAAAAATGACTGATAATTTTTGAGATAATACAGCCTCCTATCCTACTAACATTAATGTACACAGTATAACCAGGTATTTTGCGTGAACTGTTCCGTAGCGCGTTTGTAGCGCTTCACAGCTGTCGATACTTGACCACACGCCCTCTCCTCCGTATATCTTGATTTTTGTACGTGACATTGGTGTGTATATTTTACGAGCCTGAGGTTACCGTATATTGTGCAGTCACTTTCGTCTTCCCCATAGTCACAGTCGTCGTCTCCGTCACATATATAGTCACTGTCGATGCAACGTCCGTTGTCGCATTCGAACTGCCAACTGTAACAGTAACCTGCGTGTGTTTAGTGTGGTGCATGCAAATGGCATCAATCCCTCAGTATATACACAACGTAATAGCTGCTCTCGTTCCGTCACCGTTGCAGCTGTCCGCTAGGACAAAAACCAACAAGAACGGTAGGCAAAGACGACTCCACATCACAAGTCGTTGCTTGCCCCACGCACACACGTACGTACATACAGCTCACACCATGTACCATGACCATGCGCGCGCACGCACGCGCCCGCAAAAACGATTTTGTGCGCATGCGTACATCGCCCGCGTGCGTTCCAAGAGCTATAATTACAGGGGGAGACAATACTGTCTACATAATGAAATTGTCAATAGTTTGTAAAAAAAAGTCAGCTCCTGGGATTACTGCACAGGGTACGGTGGCGGGTAAGACTGCGCAGTAGTATAGGGCTGGGGCGGGTACTGCTGCATTGGCTGCTGAACATATCTTGGTGGATAGTCAGTTTTCACATCTTCCTGAAAAAATAACAGAGAATTACTACAGCTTAACCTCGAATAAGCGGAGACCTTGAAATAGACTTGCACACTGTTCTAACAAGGGACACCCCTAAAAAAGGATTATGAATTTGCACCTACAATATATGACCAAATAAGAGAAAAAAACACCTCTAATGGACAGAAAGGAATGAAAAGCACTGAAGTGCAAACCCTCGGCGCTCACTGTGGACGCGCACGCGTAGTAACGCATGCGCCGTACCACTAATTGATGGGCTGGGTTTAGTTTTAGCTGTTACTCGTGGTCTCTTGCAGCTCGCGCAGAGTCTGACGCGGGCTAATTACACTACTAGATAGCATGCGAGAGGCGATACACGCCCTGCGTTGCATCTTCTGGTGCCTCCGAGGTACGCAGAGCACGCGGATCGATCATGCTGTAGTAAGCCGTTGTGTATTTGCATATTGGCTTTTTCGCGCTCTAGCTTTACAACGGAGCGTTTTCAGGGAAAACCACACATATTTTCTGACCTTCATTGCCCGTTCAGAAGGTGGTATCCTTTGTGAGACAAACGAACACTCGAGAAGTGAGATGACGAGTAACAGACAGACAGACAGACAGACAGACACACAAACCCAATGAAAAGCACTAAAGTGCAAACCCTCGGCGAACTGGGCATGCGAGGTACCACTGATTGATGGGCTGGGCTGCTATTAGTATGCGTTTACTCGTGGTCTCCCGCTAGTAGCTCGCGGAGAGTCTGACACGGGCTAGCTACAGTAGTAGATAGCATGCGAGAGTCGATACACGCCCTTCGTTGTGACTTCTTGTGCCTTCAAGATACACAGAACAAGCGAACCCGGTCGAGGCTGTTGAAAATATAAGCGCATGCGCGTTTTCCGTTAAGGAAATTCGCCCTTTTACTTTTCAGGCTCGCGTTGTTCTGAAGCCGCTGGTATCGCTAATAGGCCGCCTCGTAGCCTGTAGTGCCAGAATAAGCGTAAACACACACAGACAGACAGACAAAGCAACCTTCTCTGCGTATGCACGCACGCGCGCCGAGGATTAACGCAGCGACAAAAATGGCCGACTACGCATTAGCCGTACAATGGTGGAAGCGCTGTAGCTTTGCAACGGAGGGTTTTCAGAGAAAACTGTTCGAAATTTCTGACCTTCATTGCCCGTTAGGTAGGTCGTATCGTTTGTGAGACGAACAAACATTCGAGAAGTGAGATTGAGAGTAACAGACAGACAGACAAACCCAATGAAAAGCACTAAAGTGCAAACCCTCGGCGAAGTAGCTCGCAGAGAGTCGGACACGGGCTAGCTACAGTAGATACAAGCACGCGAGCGAGATGACTTCTTGTGCCTTCAAGATAGACAGAGCAAGCGGACCCGGTCGAGGTAAGCCGCCTGTGCTAAATACAAGCGCATGCGCATTATCCGCCAGCGATAAAATGGCGACTACCGGCATTAGCCATACAATGCTGGATGCGCTCTAGCTTTGCAACGAAGCATTTTCAGAGAAAACCGTTCGAAATTTCTGACCTTCATTGCCCGTTAAGTAGGTCGTATCGTTTGTGAGACGAACAGGCGTTCCAGAAGTGAGATTGAGAGTAACAGACAGACAGACAGACAAACCCAACTACTGTACCCTCGCTGCGCATGCGCGCCGAGGGTAACTACAGTACCGCCGAGGGTTAAAAAGCCGGATATGAGATGACTAATGTATGCAGAAAAACAAGCCATGGCACTTGTTGTGACGACAGTTGCCGCGGGAACCCTCGCTGGGGGGTGGACAGTTGTAGTGACAACCGATCTACCACCGAGGGCGTGTTGGAGAGGGCCAGCGATACAGCAGTATACATACCAGGACACATATGGCGATGGGGATAACCACACAGAAGAGGATGAAGAAGAAGACAGAGAGACCAATAGCCAGACCTGCAGCTGGGTGTGTGTGTGTGTGGGAGGGAGAAATGGGGGAAACCTTCCATACCCAGACTCAGAATCCAGACTCCTTTTATTACACTACACCCACTGATGGTTTAGTGCATACACTACTCCTGCGCATGTGAGTGTATGGCTGAGTCAGCAAACCATACACCATGGCAAGCATACTAATGAGTTGTCTTCGTGCGCATACACTGCGTGCGGTGCCTTTGATTGCCAACAGTTTTGTTTCGTTTCGTTTCTATCCGTAACAGTATACGCAGTGCCTAGTACATAAATCACGCAGTTTACAAGCTTGTTTTGTTGCTGTCTGTATTACCCCACATGGTTCTATGTTAGAAAGGGATAAAAACGCTAGAAAGAAGAAAAACCAGTTCTACCAGTGGGATTTGAACCAACCAATGAAGGTTAGAATGTACTCCAGGTATACCAGGAGACACCATGGCACATAGCTGCATCAATCAACTCTAGTGCGTACAGCGCAACCTCAAAAATGACAATTTTCAGTGCAGCAAGTTATCACAGAGAGCCTTGGGCTTCCCTTTAAAACTGTGGTTTTGCGCGTTTTCAATTCCCAAATCAAACATGAGCCAACCCAGAACACCATTATACACATTAACAAAGTTCATAAAGACAGCCGTTGAGGATGTGTTTTAAATTAACCTACCAGCAGCGTCGGCACATCCATCTTCATCGCTACCATCATAACAGTCGTCATATCCGTCACATACGCCAGAGTCGCTAATACACTGCCCGCTGTCACACTCATACTGGTAGCTGCTATAACAGTAGCCTGGGAGATGTGTGATGATAGAGCAATAGGTATACTACTGCAGGTCTTGTGACCACACAAACGCAGCACATGTATATATAAGTATACATAAATCCGGCAGCAGAAATTATTTTTGGTACAGGAGTTGGTTGTGTAGGTAATACTCTAAGGAATTACAGGAGTGTTTAGAGAAATTAATGGCGCCCTCACTAGGTAGCTATGTATGCAGTGCAAGCCCACTGAACCCCATTGCCTCTTCCCAGGTTTCCCCCCTTGGGCCGGACACACACACCATCACACAAAACGGCCTGGGAACGAAGCTAGCTATATATAATTCCATCCAGCGCTAAAGTAAAGGACAGGTCTTCTGTAAAAGGTTTTCAAGGTGTCCGCGTGTCGTTTACTGTACACTAGTTTACTCTACACACCGAACTCCGCCGTCCAGCAAGAAGGCGCACAGACTGGCTATATATCAGTTCGGGGAGCGCAAACTTACTGTAGGTGGTACAGCCCCTTTCGTCGCTCCTGTCGCTGCAGTCATAATCTCCATCGCAGCGGTAGGAGCTGCTTATGCAGTAGCCACTATCACACTCATATTGGTTGCTGTAAAAACAGGAGCCTGCGAGTATGAGAGAAAAAGGTGGTCAGCATTTTCAGGGCCGTTAATTAAACCGACGGCGGCTGCGTTGCGGAAAATTCGCGGTTGGCGTACCATTGCAGCCGACGGCCAGAGCGACGATCAAGAAGGACAAGCAAAAAATCTTCGACATTTCTCGGTCAGGCGTCTTCCTCGTAGTCGCACAGCCGGCGGTGTGCGTGCGTACGTACGTACGTGCATAATTATAATGATAATAAAGGGTGCGCCGCGCGCGCATAATTATACTATCATAATACATGCGGCAAAAGCTACAGTGTCAATTGTCAAGCTGGAGCTAGAGATAGCAGCAGCTACCACACAGTTTCAAGGTTCAGCTGCAGCGGGTATTTTGCTGTCTGCAGGAGAGTACCCCAGAGGTGGGGGCTGGTAACCTCCGACCATCGCAGCTGGCTGGTTAGTAGCACCCAGCTGCTGTTGCTGAGGAGGTGGTGGGTACTGATGTAGAGGTTGGATGTGTCCTACTGGCTGATAACCACCTTTCACTGTTCCCTGATACGAGAAAGATATTACTCTCACAGAGAGAAATTGAAAGGAAGAAGGTGTGAACACACAAAGTAAAGTCTACTTCAAAGAGGGAACAAACTCAAAAGAGAAAATGAAGTGCATGCAAGGAATGATAGAAATTTTGTGAAACAGATAGAGAGAACTAAATCTGGTATCATACCTAAAATGGAGTCTTGTACAACGAATTGCTAAGGACCTAAAAAATGTGTTCAAAGTGAGCCAGAGTTAAGTGGGGCAAGAATGTACGGTGTTCTATGGGGCTATATAACCCCAAAGGGTGAGACAGAGTTAAGTGGGGCAAGAATGTACGGGTGTTCTATGGGGCTATATAACCCCAAAGGGTGGGTCAGAGTTAAGTGGGGCAAGAATGTACGGGTGTTCTATGGGGCTATATAACCCCAAAGGGTGAGACAGAGTTAAGTGGGGCAAGAATGTACGGGTGTTCTATGGGGCTATATAACCCCAAAGGGTGGGTCAGAGTTAAGTGGGGCAAGAATGTACGGGTGTTCTATGGGGCTATATAACCCCAAAGGGTGGGTCAGTAGTATAATATGAAGTCAGTGTGTTCCTTAAAATATGACTATATTATATATAATAGTTGACGCTGATTCGAGGTAACTACGCGCAGTAGAAAGCCGAGAGCCCCGGCATTGTGGCGCCCCGAGCGCAGCGAGGGCGCTACCCCCGGGGCACGAGGCTTTCTACCGGCGCGTGGTTACCGAGGAATCAGCGTCTAACTATTTTAGAGTGAGTGCTTCACGTTGAGCGCTCTGGCTTTCCTGTTCGTTCGTATGGCGGAGCGCTTCTAACGATGACTCGATGGAGGCAGGCTCAGAGAGGCAGAAAATGCAGTGCAAGAAGAGCGAAGCGGCAGAGACACGTACGCGCACGCGGTAGCGACTCCTCCGCCTTCTTTTTCTCGCGACGGTCTGCGCGTGCGCGTGGACGACGCGTCAACGTAGATTCAGTTGTTGATTTTGTTGTTTACATGTACATTTTGTTATGTTTTCTTGTTTTATCTGTAGGTAAAATTACATGGAATGTACATTTTACATGTAAATTCTGTAGGTTTTCTATTTGCTGTAGTAAACCCCCGTCGAGGTTTACTACGGGATTTAGTAAACCTCGCCTTTGCAATCTGATTGGTCGGTTCGAACCTAGCTCACTCTAAATACACTGCATGCAAGAAACACTGCACTAAAAACACACCGCTGTATTAGCAGCAACCACAGTAGTTGAGGTGGTATTTGCTGGCCGAGAGGCAACCGTTCTCACAGTTGATCTACCCTTCAAGGTATGTTGGAGAGGGCCAGCCACACAGCAGTATACCAGGACACATATGGCGATGGGGATAACCACACAGAAGAGGACGAAGAAGAAGACAGAGAGACCCACAGCCAGACCTATTACTATAAGGAAAAGATTGCAAAAATATTATATCAAAAAACTTTCACGGTTGTATACAATAATAAACCATACATGAATCAGTTAGTGATGATTATTACCGAGACCGCAGTTGTCTTCATCACTCCCATCAAAGCAATCGACATTTCCATCACAAACATCCTCCTTCTCCACACACTGTCCATCATCACACTCGGACTGGTAACTATAGCAATAGCCTGACAGAAAAAACAATAGCAAGTCAAGAACAACAACGCTGCAAGGGTTGTGCCCATTTCATCGGTGTACTTAGAGAGGGCGTTCCACTGTATCAACAACACAAGCAAACTATAAACACCAAAGACAACTCAAGGTATATATATAGGCCTCTAAGATCGACAATTCTCCATTGCCTAATGTGTCATTTATTCGGAGGTAAAAATAGGCTTACAGTTGATTTATTAGGACAGCGCCCAACACCCACACAATACAATAATAGCTAACCACTGCAGTAAGCTTCGTCACTTCCATCGTAACAATCATCATCTCCGTCACACACGTATCTTTCGTCTATGCAGCGCCCATTGTGACACTGGTACTGATAGGTGTAGCAGTTTCCTGCAAACGTACCAAGCACATGATTTTTACATGGGCGAACAAAAAATGACTGATAATTTTTTGAGATAATAACAGCCTCCTACTAAACTTTAAGGTACACATTTTGCGTAACTTTTCCGTAGCGCGTTTGAACCCCCAGCTTGTCGTAATACTTGCCACGCCTTCTCCGTATTCTTCGATTTTTGCCCGTAAATTGGTGTAATATTTTACGAGCCTGAGGTTACCGCATATTGTGCAGTCACTTTCGTCTGCCCCATATTCACAATCGTCGTCTCCGTCACATATATAGTCTCTGTCGATGCAATCTCCGTTGTCGCATTCGAACTGCCAACTGGAACAGTAACCTGCGTGCGTTCAGTGCGGTGCGTGAAAATGACATCAATCCCTCAGTACACAACGCAATAGCTGCTCTCGTTCCGTCACCGTTGCAGCTGTCTGCTAGGACAAAAACCAGCAAGAACGGTAGGCAAAGACGACTCCACATCACCGTCTTTCACAAATCGTTGCTTGCCCCGGTGCCCCCACTCGCGATCACACACGTGCTGCGCAGCTAACTATAGCTCTAGCCACACACACACCGACCGACACCATGCGCGCGCACGCACGCGCCCGCAACGAATTGTGCGCATGCGTACATCGCCCGCGTGCTCCAAGAGCTATAATATAGGGGGAGACACAATAACTGTCTACATAATGCAATTGTCAATAGTTTGTAAAAAAAGTCAGCTCCTGGGATTACTGCACAGGGTACGGTGGCGGGTAAGCCTGCGCGGTATCATAGGGCTGAGGCGGGTAAGCAGCAGACTGGGGTGGGTACTGCTGCATTGGCTGAGAATAACTTGGTGGATAGTCAGTTTTCACGCCTTCCTGAAAAAATAACAGAGAATTACTACAGCTTAACCTCGAATAAGCGGAGACCTTGAAATAGACTTGCACACTGTTCTAACAAGGGACACCCCTAAAAAAGGATTATGATTTTGCACCTACAATTATATGCCCAAATAAGGAAAAAAACACCTCTAATGGAACAGAAAGGAATGAAAAGCACTGAAGTGCAAACCCTCGGCGCTCACTGTGACGCGCACGCGTAAGTAAACGCATGCGCCGTACCACTAATTGATGGGCTGGGTTTAGTTTTAGCTGTTACTCGTGGTCTCTTGCCAGCTCGCGCAGAGTCTGACGCGGGCTAATTACACTACTAGATAGCATGCGAGAGGCGATACACGCCCTGCGTTGCATCTTCTGGTGCCTCCGAGGTACGCAGAGCACGCGGATCGATCATGCTGTAGTAAGCCGTTGTGTATTTGCATATTGGCTTTTTCGCGCTCTAGCTTTACAACGGAGCGTTTTCAGGGAAAACCACACATATTTTCTGACCTTCATTGCCCGTTCAGAAGGTGGTATCCTTTGTGAGACGAACGAACACTCGAGAAGTGAGATGACGAGTAACAGACAGACAGACAGACACACAAACCCAATGAAAAGCACTAAAGTGCAAACCCTCGGCGAACTGGGCATGCGAGGTACCACTGATTGATGGGCTGGGCTGCTATTAGTATGCGTTTACTCGTGGTCTCCCGCTAGTAGCTCGCAGAGAGTCTGACACGGGCTAGCTACAGTAGTAGATAGCATGCGAGAGTCGATACACGCCCTTCGTTGTGACTTCTTGTGCCTTCAAGATACACAGAACAAGCGAACCCGGTCGAGGCTGTTGAAAATATAAGCGCATGCGCGTTTTCCGTTAAGGAAATTCGCCCTTTTACTTTTCAGGCTCGCGTTGTTCTGAAGCCGCTGGTATCGCTAATAGGCCGCCTCGTAGCCTGTAGTGCCAGAATAAGCGTAAACACACACAGACAGACAGACAAAGCAACCTTCTCTGCGTATGCACGCACGCGCGCCGAGGATTAACGCAGCGACAAAAATGGCCGACTACGCATTAGCCGTACAATGGTGGAAGCGCTGTAGCTTTGCAACGGAGGGTTTTCAGAGAAAACTGTTCGAAATTTCTGACCTTCATTGCCCGTTAAGTAGGTCGTATCGTTTGTGAGACGAACAGGCGTTCCAGAAGTGAGATTGAGAGTAACAGACAGACAGACAGACAAACTCAACTACTGTACCCTCGCTGCGCATGCGCGCCGAGGGTAACTACAGTACCCTCGCTGCGCATGCGCGCCGAGGGTAACTACCGTAACCCTCGCTGCGCATGCCCGCCGAGGGTTAAAAAGCCGGATATGAGATGACTAATGTATGCAGAAAAACAAACCATGGCACTTGTTGTGACGACAGTTGCCGCGGGAACCCTCGCTGGGGGGTGGACAGTTGTAGTGACAACCGATCTACCACCGAGGGCGTGTTGGAGAGGGCCAGCGATACAGCAGTATACCAGGACACATATGGCGATGGGGATAACCACACAGAAGAGGATGAAGAAGAAGACAGAGAGACCAATAGCCAGACCTGCAGCTGGGTGTGTGTGTGTGTGGGAGGGAGAAATGGGGGAAACCTTCCATACCCAGACTCAGAATCCAGACTCCTTTTTCGTAATAGAGGTTTCACTACGAACCACTCAGCAGGTTTAAGTGGACATCCCACCCCTACTACTCTCTACTACTCCTCGCGCATGTGAGTGTATGTCTGTTCGCTCAGCACACCATACACCATGGCAAGCCTACTATGAGGTGTCCTCGTGCGCCATACACTGCGTGCGGTGCCTTGATTGGACAACAGTTTTGATTTTCGTTTCGTTTCTATCCGTAACAGTATAACGCCGTGCCTAGTACATAAATCACGCAGTTACAAGCTTGTTGTTGCGTCTGTATTACCCCACGTACCCCACATGGTTCTATGTTAGAAGGAGGAAAAACGCTAGAAAGAAGAAAACCAGTTCTACATGGGATTTGAACCAACCAATGAAGTTAGAATGTACTCCAGTACATCAGGAGACACAATGGCACATAGCTGCATCAATCACTCTAGTGTGTACAGCGCAACCTAATTTCAGTGCAGCAAGTTATCACAGAGAGCAGTGGGCCTTCCCTTTAAACCTGTGGTTTTGGCGTTTTTCAATTCCAAATCAACATGAGCCACCCAGAACCCATTATACACATTAACAAGTTCATAAAGACAGCCGTTGAGGATGTGTTTTAAATTACCTACCAGCAGCGTCGGCACATCCATCTTCACGCTACCATCATAACAGTCGTCATATCCGTCACATACGCCAGAGTCCGCTCAATACACTGCCCGCTGTCACACTCATACTGGTAGCTGTTAAAAACAGTAGCCTGGGAGATGTGTGATTGATAGAGCAATAGGTATACTACTGCAGGTCTTGTGACCACACAAACGCAGCACATGTATAAGTATACATAAATCCGGCAGCAGAAATTATTTTTGGTACAGGAGTTGGTTGTGTAGGTAATACTCTAAGGAATTACAGGAGTGTTTAGAGAAATTAATGGCGCCCTCACTAGGTAGCTATGTATGCAGTGCAGCCCGCTGAAACCCCATTGCTCTCTTCCCAAGGTTTCCCCCCTGGGCCGGACGACACACACCATCACACAAAACGGCCTGGGAACGAAGCTAGCTATATATAATTCCATCCAGCGCTAAAGTAAAGGACAGGTCTTCTGTAAAAGCTTCATATTCCTCAGACAGAGGAAGTGTCACTAACCTTTGGATAAACAGTATGTACAGGAAAAGGTGTGGGTCACGGGTGTACACATTATAAGGGCTCTAGCTATATTTAGAAAATGTTACTAAAATTGGAGAGTGAAAGAATGCAATTGGTATAATAGCTATGTGCAGTTTCATACACACATGACCAGGCTTATATAGCTACTACACAAGTAAGAACTTTTACCCCATTATTTTTTGACACAGACACTGAGATCTAAAAATGTCTACAGACTCTTTAGCCACATTGGTGTGTTTGCTCTGTATTACATGGAGACAAGAGAGGCGTATTATAAGAGAACATACCACAGCCTTCCTCATCACTTCCGTCAGGGCAGTCGTTGAAATTGTCACAGCGATCAGAAGAAAACGTTGTGCAATGACCATTGTCACACTCGTACCCAGAACACCGCGACTGTGCTGTATATATAGAGAGAAAACGCGAGGAGCACGCGAAGGAGAGAAGGAGAGAAGGAGATCGAGACACACTATAATATTAAAGAACACCAGGAAAGCGAGAGCGCCAGAGTTGACACTTCGTTTTTGTTTGCGCGCTAGCTAGCTATGTATACCTCGATCTCAACACACACGATTCAAAAGTACACCGCGCGATAAAGTCTCCGCTAAGCCGTCTCTGCTAAGCCGTCGCGGTGGCGCCGGCCTGAATTCGCGTAGCACTTACGTAGCTATCTTACCGTAGGACGATGCGACCAGAAGGCTAGCAAACAATAGAAACGGCTACTCCCTTCATCCTTTCGGGTTTCGTGTTGGATGCTCTTTTATTTCTTATGTTTCTATATATTTTTTCCTTTCTTCGCCCTTCCCCCCCTCTCTTCCTTTCCCCCCTCCCCCCCTCATTTTTTTTTCCTCCCCATCCTCTTTTTTCCTCCCCAGAATTCATGGCATTCGTCCCTCAACATCATCCAAACACCCCAAACATCCTCAAAGTAATTTTAAAAACCGTCCATATATCACACACTCTCTCGTTCTAACCCAACAGACAGTAGTGGTGGTATTGAAGGCAGTCATAGTATTTTAATCTTTGGTCAGAAGAGGCTGAGATTTATGACGCTAATTCCTCCAGGTGATGCTGGCTCATCGTTAAGGTGCATAATTTTATTACTCTCAAAGCAGGCAGAAAATTTGTCCATTAGTCATGGTATTACGTTACTGGCAGAACAATTCCCTTATCTGGCTCGGTTTGGACTGCAAAACTGGCTTAGTTATTGAAGACGTGATTGAGTTTAAAATTCCACAGCAATTGCTCCAAGTCAATGAGTTGCTCTTTTGGCACTGGCCTAAAAGTCTTTTGTATTGTTCAGTGTACCAAGCCTATTTGTCCTTTTCTATCACACTGTGTGCCTGTGTATTATAGGATTGAGTGTGGCCCAGCGCCGCTATGCCTTGATGACTGGATACTAGATGTGTGTTGGTTGGAGTGCAGTGGATCTTCTGGAAGTGGGTCTAGCTCCGTGGCTACAGTGACAGCACACAACACAGTTCACATCATTCAGTCCAGTAGCCGCAGTGGAGAAACACGCATCATTGCTAACTACTACTGCGAATTGAACTGCATACTGTATCCAAGCTATTAGTAGAAGACTACTGGATAAATGTTCCTTACTTCATCTGGTCTAGCTGGGCTTCCTTACTTGATCATTTACCTCCTTACTTAGCGTACTTGATCTTTTTTGTGTACTGAAAGTAGCCAGCCAATGTATGTGTGTGGTTTCCCTAGCTAGCAGTCTACAGCTACAGTGCTAGGCTGGAGGCATCCAGTGGGTCTGATCTGACCGTGTTGTCTGGAACTGTCTTCAATGACATCCTCCTGTGGCGTGTGGTGACTGACAGGAGAGAAGATGTTGTTACGGCCTCCTCAGCAGGTGCTCATGGCTCTGAAACTGAGAGGCAGAGGATCTGTCTGACTCTCAGTGGACATGAGGTATGCTACTCTCTACCGTGGTAGATGGATCAGAGCATGGGGTCATGCTAGTGATTGCTGATTGTGGCGCAGGGTGTGATATTCTCTGTCGGGATTGGTGAGTGTGGATCACGCCTAGTCTCTGTGTCTGACGACAGAACTGTTCGCGTCTGGGACCTGCCTACGGACTGGAAGTCAATGGAAAGGTATGTGCATTAGTTCCAAATGCCAGAAACGCCTGGGTCAAGATTGGAGCATATTGCGCTTGCAAAACAGGAATGGCAATGATTTTCAGCAAGTTCCTGCATTTGTATATATCAGGGGTGAGATGAAGTCATGTTCGCTGGTGTTGCACGGACACACTGCTCGAGTGTGGGGCGGTCGATGTCTCCGCGATGGCGGTGTCATCAGTATCGGAGAAGACGCCACGTGCAGAGTGTGGGACGGACAGGGCCGGTGTGTGAAGGTAGTGGAGGGACACAGAGGTAGGAGCATCTGGAGCATGGCCGTGGACGAACACTCTGGCGTTGTAGTACGTGCTGTTCATCACCACTTGACCATCAATACTGATATGCTGTATCTTTAGGCAACAGGTGGCGGGGATTGCAGCATAAGACTCTTTGGACTCGAGACACACAGCAATGACTGTGAGTTGCACGTGGACCAGAAAGAACTGTGGTGTGTTAGTATGGTGCAGGTTCTTGGTCAGTTGATACCACACTGCCAGCAAGTGAGCCTGCAGTAGAAGAGACCCCGAGATTAGTAGAGCTCCGTGGCAGGACTGTACTCTGCCTCTCTAGCACCGGGTTTGTGTTTCGTAACCCCAAACTCCGTCCGTTCTTCACTTTTGTGATACTCTCTCAGGTCGCTGTATGCTGCCGATTATCCATTCAGAGCGACATCCCCTGGCACAGTGTGGAGGCTAATCCACGGAGACAGTCGGTTCTCTGGCTACGCTGCCATGGCTCTCTCCCCTGACTCCCAGTGGGTGGCTCTGGGAAGTCTCCAGGGATGTGTTGCCCTACTCCACCTGGGAAAGCAACCAGAGACATTGGGTGTCGAGCATCTCCTCCAGTGGAGTGCTCACCAGGGGAAGGTGTTCTCTCTCACTTGGCTCGACTCATTTAAAGGTTATTCCAACACTCTGCTGTCATGTGGACCCAGTGGGGAGATGGTGAGGTAGTGTTAGGAGCTGTTAGTGTGTGGAGGGAACTCTGTTGTGCGGTGCAGGTTGTCTGGGGAGTACCTGAAGCCAGTGATCTAGCATCAGAAGTTGCCATTCCTCTGACTCACCTGAGACTGCCACTCTCTAAACATCGCTGGGTGACAGCTGCCACGATCATATCCTCACCAGAGTCCCTGAGCCCTCAAACTAGCTCTGGTATTTCCGCTGCAAATGATGATGGAAGTTGCTGCCAGCAAACTGAGTCTTGTTTCCTGGTCTGTGGAGACAGAAAGGGCTCTCTACATGTCTTCCAAACCAGTCCCTCAAAAGAAGTATATACCTCACACTATTAGTGTTGTGTTACACTATGCCTCTCACACACAGTGGTTGGAGCCACTGCAGTCGCTGCGCGGTGTCCACGGGGTCAACGGAGTGACACACATCTCTCTGTGGAGAGGATTCGTCACCAGTTGTGGCAGAGATGGCCACTCCAGGACCTTCTCCCTTCATCCACACACGGCAGCTTGACAGAACTCTCCAGCTACAGGGTACTGTGGTGAGCATGCAGCACAAGGTGCATTACTGGTCATGTGTACCACTGTAGCTTGTGAAAGGGATGGATTGGGTGGAGCGGCAGTTCAACTCTGAGTGTCACCACCTCGTTCTTGGCTTTCATTCCGTGCGTCTTGATAATAATAATCCCATAAACTAACAGCTTTCTTTCAACTGCAGACAGATATGGTGCTGTACAGTGTTATGGAGAACAGGCAGCTGATGAGTGTTAGCTGTGGAGGAGGCCACAGGTCCTACGGCTGGACTCCCCTGTCTCAGGTATATATAGCACCAGATTTTAACAGGTTATGGGATCCTTTCTACTGTATATAGCTGCTGCAAACCAAGCAAGCTGTGGTGGTCTTCATCAAGAAGTTGGTTGTGTCGATTAGAGTGGTGGACCTGACATTGCAGCTCACAGCTCCTGTTCTACAGGCAAGTGTAGAGCAAAACTACAGAACTCTAATGTCTTAGCATAATGTATGCGTACCTCCTTGTAGAAAGGTTTTGTTGGAAGAGAGGCTGTATCACTACAGATGGTCCACTCTGACCCAGTCACTGGTATAGGAAAACATTATTCCTGAACTGTATATATTATTATAATTATGCCTCACAGGTTGTGGACTGGTGGCAGTAGGAAGCGAGGACTGCAGTGTGTGTCTGCTGAGCCTCCAGCCATCCTCTGACGGCGACTCGCTGGATGTGAGCGAGAGGAGGTTCTTACAGGGCCACATCTCCACAGTCAGAGCACTGAGCACCTCGCCAAGTGGCCGGAGGTCTCACACACTGCTGTTCTCTGGAGGAGCCAGGGCCAGCCTCAAGGTCTGGAAGATTAGAGGTGATTAAATTATTTGAGTCCAAATGTGATAGTGGTGAATGGTTCAATGAGTGTGACAATTTCTAGGAACCCTTCTAGTATATATGCATTGTATCACTACTGATGCAGATTTAATGTTTTCTGCTAGAAGATTCCTAAGAATTTTGTGGCAATGCTCATAGTTGGTGAGGTGAGCGGAGGAGATGAACTTGAAGTTCATCTGGAGGCTGAACTATCAATCCACGATGACATGGACAGTCATCAGAAGAGGAAGGGCAAGAGGAGAAGGAGAGGGAGGGGCCCTGGGGCAGAGAGCCTGGTCCCAGAATCCAGGATCATGGCCCTCACCTCTCTCCCTCTGTCTCCAGTGGTGGATGGGGCTCCTGGACGGCACTATGTGGCTGCAGGATGCTCCGATGGTATTATCAGGTTCGGCTGAATCTCACACTCACAACTTACTGGACGATTCCCTTCCAGACACTACATCTACACCGAGGAGACACGGAGCTTCAGTTCCCTGGGAGATCTGGAGTACCACAATCGGTGCATACTGACTGTGAGCCATCTGGTCCTACCCACCCATCGGCTGACAGCTACTGAGTCGACTCTATGTCTGCTCTCGGCTGCCACTGATGGTAGAGTGGCAGTGTGGACTCCACTGGTGCCAGAAGACTCTAGTTCTGGACCTACATCGAGTGCTAGTCATTCAGGATCAGAAGAAACTGCGGAAAAATGCATCCACCCTCTGACTGTATGCCAGGCTCATCAATCTGGTGTCAATGACTTGTCAATCAGAAAAGGTCAGGTGGATAGCTAATACTTCACTATGGCAGAACCTAATCCTGGCTTTCTTTTCACACTCAGTGAGTGATGGGTTCTACCTCGTTGCCACTGTGGGAGATGATAATGCACTGGCAGTACTGGGTCTCTCAGTTTCTGGTGATAGTCTCCACTCTGTAAGGCTGGAGGTTCTTGCTATTGAGAGCACTGCCCATGCCTCCAGCATCACTGGTTAGCTTATAATCTACCAGGTTCAGGCTGCTTCTTATACACCAAATCTGGTGTCTGGCAGGTGTTTCGTTTCTAGGCAATGGACTAGTGGTGACATCGTCCATAGACCAGAGACTGTGTGTGTGGGGAGTTGGATTGTCCAGCTCAGCTGGCTTCACAGAGAAGGAGATTTTAAGCCGTCAGGTCGTCAGAGGGAAGGAGTGTGACAGTCATAATCTGCAGAGTGCCACATTGTCACTGGTTCACAGCCAAACTCATGACATTGCTGATACTTCTTCTCTCACCCTCTATCAATGGCGGTAAGTATACACCTATTTCAGTATAGTACTGTATGTTTTTCTCTATCAATTTGCTATAGGGAGGGAGGACACATCGTAGTTGTATGTGGAATTGGACTGCAGTCCTTTGTGATAAGAGCACAACCATCGTAGAGAAAAAGTAGTGTCATTAGTATGATTTGCAGAATGACAAAATGCTCAGATAATACTGAAACCACCTGTAGCTATCCAATTTAATACAACTCTGGACGGCTTTCAGCAAAAAATTGAATTGTTAACAAACAGGACTGCATTCATATTGGTGATAACAAATATATCCCTCATAACTATTATATTGGTCCATCAAACACTCCAGCCTCCATCAATCACCATCGTTTGACCAGTCACAAATGCCGACTGCAGATCAATAGCCATAACACCTCATACACATAGTGTGTCTGTCCTACCTCGTCACTGGCTAGGTAGACCAAGAGACAAGCTATCTCTTCTGCAGTCCCCAGTCGACCCATCTTCTGTCGGGCAACAAATTTGGCACGGTTCTGTTAGAATCATAATACAAATTGGAGATGAGTCATAACTCGAGAGACGAGACTTGCAGTTTCATAGTCTCCCATGGCTCTTATCCTGTCATTGAGTGACGGTGTGTCCACAGTACCTATGTACATACATAAATACAGGAGTGTCTCAAGCAGGGCCTCTACTGCATAGCCGAAAAATGTTCATGTTTCAGTCTAGGTAGCAAAGAGAAAACACTTGGTCCTACAGAAAAACTTTTTTGCAGACAGCGTGAAATTTGCGAAAGTTTTCTCCTTTGAAAGTTGATTCACAAATACCTGGACAGATGGCATTGCATCTGATCCCATCCTGGACGTAGTCAGCCGCAATGCTCTTAGTCAGTCCGATCACGGCAGCCTTGGAGGCACCGTAGACACTGCGGCACTCCGCCCCCTTTATGCTTGACACCACTGACGCCATGTTGACGATGTTCCCTCCACAACCCTTCTCCTTCCACTGAATGGTAGCGAACACACACATCATTTCCCCAAAGGTCTTCCTCTACGTACAGTTCTCTCACCATTGAAATACAGGTTTTAGACGTGTAGAACATGCTCTTCACGTTGATATCAAAGGAGCGGTCCCAGTCCTTCTCCTCCGTGTCCAGCAGAGGTCCATGAAACACATACTGCATGACCGAGACAGTCTCGGGATATCCGAGTTAGTGCAAAGTACTAGGAGCCTACCCACCCTGCACAGTTGAAGAGGACATTAGTGTCGCTGTATTTCTCCCGCAAGAGACGCTCCACGTCCTCCCGACGAGTAACATCCAGAGTGTCGGTCACGATGGCTGGCTGCTCACGCTTCAGCTCCGCCAGTTTCTCTCCATTCATGTCTGTGGCTATGACTCGAGCACCCTCGCTGTGAAAAAATTTCATGCTCGACTGTAGCTACGCCTCTGCGCAGTCCACAGTGCAGGAAGACACACTCACCAACGCCGAGGCTCTTCCTATGCCCTGCGCAGCTCCAGTGATGAATACTACTTTTCCTGACAACCTGCCAGCTTTGGACGCACAGTAGCGTTATAGGAAGATGTGTTCGGACAAAGGGGGGCTCCACACGCATGCGTAAAAAACACAGATTTTCTAGGCGCGAGCCCGAAATATAGGGGGGGCGCCAGCCCCAGGAACCCCAGCCCCCGGAGCCCCCGTGGTTCCTACGCCACTGTGTGATATATACGACAATGGTGCGACACACGCATGCGCTATATACATGGTTAATCGTCATAATACAGCCAATGACCAAAACTGCAAAACTTCATGCATAATACAATATGGAAGTCGTCTCAAGCGTTCAAGACCTTCACAGTGAAGGGGTACTCCTGGTCACAGCCCATGTACGCGTCGCACATGAAGTAGAGGACGTATTTGTGGGAACCTGGAGCGGTTGCGTGAAATCCAGTTTCACTTTCGCCTTTGATTGCAGGGTCATTCTCTTGATCGAAGCAAGGCTAGAAAAGTCAAAAAGAAGTATAAAAAAAGCAGCAAACGTATAATACAAAGATTTTTTACCTGTTAGTTTTCGGGTCACCAATAACCACCCACCATCCCTCCTCTCGTTTCTGGAGGGGGAAAGGATTAACGGTAGTAGGAAGAGAGGGGAGTGAGTCAGCTGACCTGAGGGAAGAAGGGGGCAATGACTTGAGGCAAAGTCTCCTCCTCGTCCTCTCTCTCCAACTTTACTACCACAACCACCTGCTCACCTCTGGAATCACAGAGAGAGAGAGAGAGAGAGAGAGAAAAAGAGAGAGGGACAATTAATGAGGGGGTAGTTTGAGTGTAACAAACTCACGAAACGATGTTGTCCTTGTCCTGGACTTCGTACGTGAGGTCAATGTTGGGGTAGCGGTTGCAGAACCGAGCCACGTCCTACATAGGAAGAACAGTTCAAGCTGTTCCTGGGGGGTACTATGTTAGGCCAACCTGCATCTGTCCATCAGAGAACTGCAGGAGACTGTTCCTAGCATCATCTTCCATGTCCATAATGTCAAACACAGACTCAACTCCCTACAAAATACATCACCCATTCGCTAGATACATAGCACACTGACAGAGAGACAGAGATAGAAATAGAGAGCTAGATAGATAGAAAGATGATAGAGATAGAGAAAGAGAGGAGGAGAGAGAGTGCGCGTGTGTGTGTGACCTTGTCAGAGCATCTCTTGATGATGTCAGAGGTGAAGTGGGGCAGCTGTTTGAGGAAGGAGTCCTTGCTCCACATGGCCTGAGTCATCATCTGGGCCAGCTCCATGGCACTCAGCGCCGGGGACAGCCACCCGCTGCTGCTCAGAACATCCACACACGCCTGGATCAGCCGAATGGCCTGCAATGGGTTCAAGAATGTACATAGGTTGTACATACAATAGCTGCTACCTGAAGATGCTACAAAACTACAAACGCATGAATTGACATCATCTAACAGTGCAATAAATATGAAACACCACACCTTCTTGAGGATATCCTCGGTGTCACTCTGGAGCTCTGCTGGGAGCTGGAGCCGGGAGAGGTGGGCCTGGATGAGCGGTTCGTCTTGGTGTGGGGGTCGTTGAACTTCGATCCCACCAGTTTGAGGGGGACCCTGGACGACAGCTGCCTCAAGAGGGAGTCCTCCTTGTGGCGGATCGGGAGGTTCTCGTACTCGGCTGCCGAGGCCAGGATTTCTATCAGCCCCCGCAATTTGGTCTTGTTATTGAGAGACATGCTGAAGAGCTCTGCAGGTGATGTGAAGGAGGTTTATATAATAATTATAACAGTGGAATCATAGCAACACTGAGCTCTAGAGAGTGCAGGGAGTGAAGAGGGACGGAGGAAAAAGTAAGACTTGCCAATGGTGGTGTAGTTGATGTAGTAGTAGGCAGCGATCATGCCCAGGTTGAGTGGCGACAGGTCCATCTCATCCTCTATGGCTATACACTGCAAGTGGCACACAGCAGTTAATACACAACCAATATCCTTGTGAACCTAGTGTGAATGAGAGAGTAACTGTGGGTATATACGTACCTTGGACTGCTCAAGGTCACTGAGAGTGTTCTCCACTACTTCAGAGAGATGGTCGGAGAGATGACGATGAGTCACACCTGCAGAGACACACGAGAGTGGGAGTAAGGTACACCAGTAGAGCGAGTGCGTGGGGACCTTGGAGGTTGTAGAAGTTGGGGTTCTGGGTCATTCTGCGGTAGAGGAAGGACCAGGTGAGGTAGTCCACTGCGTCCTGCTTGTTTTCCACCGTCTTGGTCACCACCTCCGCGTTGAAATGGTCGTGCATGAAGTGGTCCAGATAAGACTGCAAACAGAGAGAACAAGAGCCAGTTATACAGTTAGATAGGCATGTTTGCTCCAGTATAGTACAGTGGCACCACACCACAGGTGGAATGTGCCAATTTGCCACAAGCCACCGATGTTGATCACCCCTCCTCACCTCCACAGGCAGAGGCTCGTAGAGGAACTTCTTGTAGAACTCTTTCTTGGAGTTCTGGCAGAGCAAGATGGCCACCCCGCTCTCGTCCACCAGCGGTCTGTTGGCTCTGCCTATCATCTCCAGGAGGTCAGGCACCGGGTAGTCAACATACCTGGGAGACACAGACATTCACACATAATGTCTGTATTACCATAGGAGGATCACTATCACATTTAAGGCAGAACCATTCTCTGATGTAGTTGGGAGAGCAACATAGTATTGTGTGATAGTTTGAGGAGGTTAACCGTGTAAGTGCTGGCACAGATAGTTTTATTGTGAAATTACAAAAGCAAGTACTAAGCGAAAGGTGCATAAAACAGTAAGGGTCATACCTGTGCCCTCTGCCATCGTAGTACTGTGTGTCCATGATGACAGTGAGATGTGAGTTGATGCTCATTCCCCAGCAGAGGTTGCGGGACACCACGATCACCTGCAGGTCATGTGACACTCACACGAGTCACCTACGGCTCTCTCCTGCCTCACCTGGACAGCTCCAGAGGAGTAGACCTGCTCCACTGCCTTCCTCTCTATGTCGCTGAGTCCCTCGTGGAGGTAGGCAACTCCATTGCTCAGTGTCTCCACCAGGGTCTGGGGCAAAGATAGTCACTTTACTACAGGAACCAATGCAAAACAGTTTTGGCGAGCGAAGGCAATTTTTCGCGCAATTTTTCTTCCCCAACTATACAAATACAATTCCCACCAGTTTGTTAAACACTCTTACTATTTCTTTCCCATCTCTCCCTCAGTCCTCACCTTGTCTCGGATGTGCTTGAGATGTGTCTTCAGGTCCTCCTCGGCACAGTGGAGGAACCGCTGCGGCTGGAGATCGGCGGCGCAAAAGGTCAGGAGGTCGACGGCGGTGAATCTGGTCTGCTTGCGAGAGGGGACAAAGACGATGACGGGTGTCTTTGGTGAGTACTTGCAGATGGCCTGGTAGACAGGTTTCATCATAGCTATGAGTCGCGACGGAGTATGGGTGATGTTGAAACCCTGAAATGTCATGCACACACACAAACACGTTAGTAGGTATAGATATTATTTTAAAGAGATCAAAGCATAGGGAAATAGAATTTTAAGTAGGTAGGCACAAGGTCTCTGTATACACAACAACAGAGAGCACCATCACGGGCAGTGTTCCACCTGTGTCAGTAAGAGTACATACACTCTCGTCTCACCTGTATGTGGAGCTCCAGTGGGACAGGTCTGACGTTGGGGTGGAAGTTGAAGAGACCGTGAGTTGTGGCTCCCAGCCACTGGCCCAGGTCCTTGGCGTTGGCCACGGACGAGCTTAGAGCCACGATCCTCACCTTCCGCTCGATCTGCGAGGACATGTAGCGCATGCGGGAGCAGATGACCTCCAGGACGGGCCCGCTCTCCCCGCCTATCAGGTGCAGTTCGTCCACCACAAAGAGATCGACGTTCTGTACGTTCTTCCTCTGCTTCCATCTCCGGGAGAGGACATCCCAGTGCTCTGGCGTGCTAATGACAATGTTGCTCTGTGTATATACACCAAATACAGATGGTAACAAAAAGCAGTTTCGTTTAGAAAATGACATTTAGGAATATGCACAACACTAGTACAACAGAGGATAAATGAAGTTAAGGTAGTGTAGTGGAAAGAAAGCACAGAGTACGCGTGTTTACACACTCGATTCCATGAGTGCAAGATCTGACTCAATAATCACAGTACTCACGTCTCTCAGTAGACGGAGGTCCGCACTGGTTTCCCCTGTCAGCAGAGAGACCCTCTTGCTCATGTGCTGTCCAAACTTCTGCTGCCACTCGGCATAGCGCTGAGCGGAGAGAAACACGACAGAATGAAACACAAGTTTCCTACTAACATTCTGAAATATGTAACAGAGCCACAAGATTTAAAGTGAAGTAAAACGGCGATGAGGAAAGAAGAAACCTAATTGAGAGTGTAGCATAAGTTCCCTACTACAATCTGAGAAACATATTATGCAACCAGTAGATGTACAGTAAAGTGAAGGACATACAGTGTACATACCTGTTCGGCGAGGGGCTGTTTGGGAGTGATGAAGACGCAGCGAGAGTTGGGAGAGGCAGAGAACATCCTGAGGATGGCAAACTCGGCACAAATGGTCTTCCCGCTGCCGGTCGGAGCTCCCACAAACACATCGTCATCAGTGTTATAGAGAGCATTGAACACTGCACACACACACACAGAGTAAATCATTACAAGGCCAATAATGCAGTTTATCATAGCTACCAGTCGTTTGCAATGTACCAAACTTTGTGCTTGCTTAACCATACATTCTCATAGTCGTTTTCAAGTGCAACTGTAGATACAGTACCGGCAAGACGAACCACTACCCCAATAATAGTAGGGGCACAAGAGCTATGTTTTTACGATGAATATTATTACATATGGTACGATTTAGTACATGTCTATAGCCATACAGTTGATTGGGGTCCAGCAGTGTGACACTCTTACCCTGGGTCTGGATGGGGTTAAAGAAGGTGAAGAGGTCAGAGTACAGCTGTTCGTAGTGGGGGTTACGGAGGGCGGTGACAGGGAGTGGCTGGAGGTCGAGCAGCTCCGTGGGAGGCGGGAACTTCTCCGGGAGGATGAGGTGGCGGAAGGAGACGGGCAGCTGGGTCTCCGAGGACAGCCACTTGTCCGACACGACGCGGATGAAGTACTGCGGAGGGAGTGGCTCGAAGACGGGGACAAAGAAACTGACGGCGTGCTCGTCACGAGAGTATTTGGACTTGAGGAGGAAGTACTCGTGATGGAGGATGAGTTCAGAGTCCACGTCTTCCACCATGATCCAGAACGCCTGCAGGCAAACGGCACACCACCACCAGATCAGACAGTGTGCAGGAAACACATCAAACAGTGTGCGACGACTGCTTCACACAAACCACAGTGAACACAAAACAGAAGCACTATAGTACGTTACGCACAGCTGCAAAGCTAGCCATGTATGTATGTAGAGTAATGCAGTATTAACCTCAGACACTCCGTGGATCTTTTCGTCCCACTGGAAGTCGGGAGTGATGGTCAGCTCCACTTGCAGCGTGGACCTGCATACGTTTGACAAACTAACTAACAGTACATACCTCACATACTGGTACAAACATTCACTCATGCACACATTTGACACGAAACGTACCTGGTGACTGGTTGGATGTGCACGGCCAGCTCCAACTTGGGCAGTTGGTGGACATACTTGTGGATGGTCTTGCCCATCTTGGGCATGCGGACCAGCTCGCCGATCTCGCTGTGGCCGAGGTCGTAGAACCTCTCCCAGGGGAAGTCCTTCTTCTCGATCCTGCGGATGACGTCCTCCGGCAGCTTCTTGAACTGTCGCAGTGGAGTCATCGACTGCCACCTAGTCGAGAGTAACAGAAGAGGCAGAAAGGGGGAGAGAAAAGCGGAGAAGGGGAAGAGTAAGAGAAGAGATACGTATACAGCTCGGAAGTAAAAACTCCCGCTGCTTTAGGGAAAGGTATCTGAGCAGAGGACACTTTACAGCAGTACAAGTTAAGTTTTCACGTTTTGTCTATGCCACTGAACAGCAAATGTTTCGTCCCTTATAGTCGCTGCTACACATGCTAGGAAACATGGTTATATAAAAGGTCTCACATTCTCTTGTCGATCATCTTGGAGAGAGAGTGGGCACGGGAGGTGAGCTGGGCCCAGCCTCGATGGAGGCAGATCTCGTAAATGGCGCGGATGAGCCTCCCGGCAGACTGGGTGACGTAGACCATGTCTGACATGAGGGCGAACCCCTCCAGCTTCAGCTGGGAGATGTAGGCCTGGAGGAGAACGTTGATCTTGGCACTTGGCTCCTCCATGCTCTCCTTGACCGGGATGGGGACTCTGTCTAGCAGCTTTGCCAGCTCCATCTTCTCCTCCTGTGAATATGCACAGATCGAGAGTGAGAGGAGAAGAGTGGTGAACACGGAATATCCCTAGCTATAAAGAGAAGGCTTTAGGGTGTGTGTGTTTCAGACTCCATAAATACACGCAGAGTGAAGACTTCCATGTAGAAAATACTATGTGATGCCAAAAGAAACAAGATGTGGGTTACGGGTACAGTATTAGAAGAGGGAAAGATTCATTTAGTTTGCTGTTTATGCCAAACAGCCTTAGAACAGAGTTCTACATAATATAGATGATATATATACTGTACATGCACAAATGGAGTTCGTGCTCCATAAGTATGCAGTGTTGGCAAAGTGTGAAGACAGAGTGTACGTGTACCTCTCTGACGGAGATGTACTTAAACTCGGAGGAGAGGGAGAAGACTCGGAAGAGCTCAATCTGACTGAGGGTTGGGCTTCATCATCTGGTTGTAGGTGGCCATTGTCTCGTGGGTCAGGTAGTAGTGAGAGGCAATCCGACCCAGCTCTGTCACCTGGTGCACAGAGAGACATGCGGAGAGTCAGACGGGGGATTGAGTAAAGAGAGAGAATTGAGGGACAGAGAGCAGTGACAAGTAGGTATCATTTTGCTCCCATTCGGTCCTGTAGCATTCAACATTGAACTGCAACTGCATAAGAATTTCTTAGGTGTATATTATATAGGCACTTTTAAAGAGAAATAGAACGAGTCAGTAAGAGCTCAAGTAAGAGGAAAGAGTATTGAATGGCGAGTGAAAGGTACTGTACAATGGCTGACCTGAAAGGCTCCGCTCTTCTTGTCATACTTGATGAGGTTGCACTTGCTGAGCTGAGAGGCTGCGGTGTGGATGAGGTCAGCTCGTCGCTGGTCCAACAGTCGGTCGCTCTCCAGGTCATCTGGGTCCACTCCATACAGCTGCGGGGCCCGCAGCATCCTGATGTAGAGGTATGTGTAACCTGGGGGAGAGAGAGAGAAGAGTATTGAGCTTTGACTGCAGAGAACTGGGCTCTCTGTGGTACTGGGGTTGACATACCTAGCCAGTTGACGGCGTCTTTGGCGTTCTGGACTGTGCCCAGCACAATCTCTGCATTTAGGTTGTCGGCTAGTCGACTGATGAACTGGCTCTCAATCGGCAGCTGTTAAAGTGTAATTATACAAGTTCAGAGTAAGCTTAAGTTTCTGACACTTGGCATCCACCTATGCCTCCCCACACCTCGTGCAATTCACGGTCTATCTAGCTCCCCACCTGTTGGTTCATGAGGGAGAGGTAGTACTGGAGCTCAGAGTGACTGGTGAGCAGGACACCCTCCCCCTTCTTGTCGTACTGCGGCCGTCCGGCTCGACCCAGCATCTGCAACACGTCCAGCATACCCAGTTCCACCCACCGCCCCTTCTCTGGACTGTACACCTGTGGTTGTGGCAAAGCATGGCTACCTTAAGAGCAGGAATAGACAGAGAGTGCAAAGGATGAAGTGGCAATGAACTACTAATGACAGGGTCATTAGTGTAATGGATATGAAGATTTTCTATGGATCTCTGTGAACCCAACTTGTTGGATTCTTAGCTTAGGTTTACAGACTCATGTATGAAGACGCTGTAGTTGATGGATATTTGCTATATTTGGATGGGTATTTGCTGGTGAGTACAGCTGTTATGTCGGTTTAATATTGATTGTATGCGACGAGTGGCAGAGGAATGCTCATGCATAGTACTAGCTCATCACTCTCCTGCTGTACTTGTATGGTGCATGAAGGCAAGCAGCAATTGAAAAGCTTGTACAAGATTTCCTGGTTACACAAAATTCAGATGCACATCAGCCCAAGTACGTTACTGTAGGTAAGGTCATGCTAATGATGCCTTGTCAATCACTATGAGGATGGTTAGGGAAATAGAGTAGTTTGTACTCCACTGCTGAACAGCAGAAAAATGGTGGAGGAGACTCCATGGTCTGCATGCATTAGTATACAGTGGTATATACTCCCAGTAGAACTCATACTGACAGGTGGTGGTGGCACTTACATTGTGGTGATGGTAATGGGACGGGTGCTTCCTGATAGAGTATTAATTTTTAGTGACTCCTTTGAGGAGGCCCCATGGGGAGGCGCCAATGGTCTGCTTGCCTAAGGCCTTTCTACTAGATCAGTTACTTGTGGTAGTTACTTGTAATGATGGTATAATATACATAGGGTGGATGCTTCCTGATAGAATATTAATTTTTAGTGACTTCTTTGAGGAGACCCCATGGGGAGGTCTGCTTGCCTAAGCCCTTTCTACTAGATCAGTTACTTGTAGTGATGGTATAATATACATAGGGTGGATGCTTCCTGATAGAATATTAATTTTTAGTGACTCCTTTGAGGAGACCCCATGGTCTGCTTGCCTAAGCCCTTTCTACTAGATCAGTTACTTGTGGTACTCACAGTTGAACTGTATAACAATACAGAATTGTGGTCAGTTACTTGTAGTGATGGTAAGTTGGTGCTTCCCGATAGAATATTAATTTTTAGTGACTCCCCAGCGAAAGTGTGTGCTCATCGGCTCAGCAGAGTATAAAAAGAATGCCCTTCCTAGTGGCCAGTCAAGCAACCAAGGCACCGAAAAAGAAATCTGAAAATGAAGTATCTTCTCTTGCTGGTAGCGGTGGCCACGGCTCACGGAATGCCACCCTGCAGCCAGTCTCAAGGCTGGACGCAGGTTGGAACCATTACCAACGGTGTCTGTCCAGCAGGACTGGAGCAAGTGACTGCTTGTGGTAAGGAACTGTGCAGGAAGACGGTGCAATCACTGGCTGCAGTTCAGTAATCTTCCCCACCAATGGAGTCAGCTACTCCGAAGTCTGTGGAAAGGTCTATGGCTACCAGAAAGGCTCTCCTGATGCATTCTTCATCCTCTCCGCACATAGACCAACCATACATTGATGGTGTAAGCATCACTCATGGCAGTTCTCCTCGACAGCACATCTGGACTCTGGCAGCCACAACATCCTTGGATTTCTGTCCCTGTAGCTCCAATCCCCCTGTTACTGTCCCATCATTCGTAGGGACGGATTATTTCTGTGATGTTAGTGGTTCTAGTTGTGCTGATCGACTCTGGGACGGAGTGGGCTGTCTGCCTGGTGCCGAGGATTGCTGTGATGAAGCCAACTGGTTCTATAAGGATCTGCCTCAACTACTACTGACGACATTGAGTTCAGGGTGTGTACCGACCAGAACAGCGGCAGATGAAGACGTGTATATTGAAGACGTAGAGATATAGTAACAGTGAATAACTTCCGCTGGACTCTGTAACATTTTTAGTTTGAATAGTGATAGTGTATTACATTAACTGATTTTTGAATGATGTTGTTATATAACTCTTGGTGCAAAAGAATATGCTTAATATGCGTGCAGTACCGTAGGCAAAGAAAAAATTTCACACATGGGCAATTTTTTAGTCAAGCATCATGTGACTGGCGCAAAGAGTAAGGGGTAGTACATTTTATTCCCCCATTGAACACAAGGTGGGAATCACCTACACAGAAAGGATGAACAGCAACCATATAGGTTTCTGTTATAAGTCAAGTCTGGTGACCGAGACTCCAGATGCTAAGACACGAGTTGAAAAAAAACTGATGGTTTTTCCTTTTTGCTTTCAGTAGTCATTTCCTATCTGCATACACATAGGTGGAGTAGTCCATGAACAGAATATGTGATCTCCATTTCAGTGACCACACCATTGAGTAGCCAGTCATGTTTCTGAATGGTGCGAGATATCACTCGTGCAAGGTGCTCGACAGAATCTTGTAATTCCTTGAACTGCTTGAAGACAACGTCGTGCACACAAAATTTACCTCCTTCAATTTCAAAGGACAAACATGCACATACAGACCAGCTAATCTCATAGTTATACACAGACAGAGCTGTCCATCTGGTAGCTATGGGCAATCTCTCACAGGGCAACACGTTATTACGTAGAATCCACCTTGGGTGGAATCTATATCAGAAGAAGCAGTTGTCTTCTAGTGGATCAGTAGTTCCGTACTATATTATATTATGGAAGGACAACTAGAGTAGTGCGAACTCTGCCTTTGTATGCATCATAAAGGTCTCTGGTTTATGACATAGGACATTTAGTGAACCTTAGGTGAGTAGTGGTCTCCAAGTTAAGTAAAAGGAGAGCCCTCTCTGTCTTGTCAAAAACGTCAGAGCAGCAACTGAGGTTGAAGAAAGAGCCTGAAAATGAAGTATCTTTCTTGCTGGTGGTGGTGGCCACAGCCTCTGCCTCTAGTTTCGATGGCAGCATCCCCTATACACGAAAAATGCGCACACTTGCACAAAGAGAGCGTCAAAAAATCCCAAAAGCAAAAATGAAGCTTCTCCTGCTGGTCTTGGGAATTTCAATAGACACCGGGACAATGCCCAAGTTGGTGGCCAATGCTGGTGGTGGTAGGATAGTCAGTGGCAAGAGAGTGGATATTGGCTGAGGTTCAGTCTTCTTCCCCATGGATTTAGATACTCCAAAGTATGATGTTGTTTGTCCAGTCCCATCCCTACATCCACCCCCCTGATATGAGGGGGCAGGCCATGCTGAAAAATCCTGTGGTCTCCCTTCCTGGAAAATGGAGACCACCAAATCAGGAAGTAGAGTTAAAGTGGCATGTATGTGTGTAGCTCTTATATTAAAGAGTAGGTGGAGAGAACTGATGGTGGTTGGTAGTGAAAACCAAAGGAAGTCTGTCCTCCCAGCTAGAGTGGTTTTCCAGTGAAATGTTTGTGCCTGTCATCACAAACTACTGGAGACAGGAGACTGCCTACAATGTTTCACTGTAGTATTTCCTAGTGCATAGTTTGGTACCCCCATCCTCCCCAGACTACCTGCTAGCAGAGTATATAAAGAAAGCCCTCTGTGCCTTGTTAAGAACCTCACAGCCGAAGCAAAAACTTCAAAAAATGAAGCTAATTTTAGTGCTCTTGGTGGTGGCCACAGCCTCTGCTTCAAGTCAGGCAGACTTCTATGGCAGCATCCCATCAGTGCAGGGAATCAGACCGCAGCCCCTATTGTGTATGTGGTAATAATCCTACCGTTCCCTCCTTTGTTGGAAATGATTATTTCTGTGATAACGAGGGTAAGAACACATACGTCTCAGACGATCGACTCTGGGATGGACATAGCTGTGTGGCTGTGACACCGAATTGCTGCGGCAGAGGCGGCTGGTTCTGCAAGGATCTGCCTCAACCTACTACTGACGACATTGAGTTCAGGCTCTGTACTGACGAGGGAAGGACCAACGAAGATGTATACATTGAAGATGTAGAGATGTACGTACAGTAAAGAAGAATCAAAGAAATGACTCTGGTGGAAATCTTAGTTGACTTATGGATACATGTAGTTTATGAATCGTTGTTGCATTCAAATATATTATGTGATTGTACCCAGACAAAAATTAAATTGTGCGCATGCAAATGCGTTTGAAAAGCCAACACCACTATTGTAAAACTCTTGCACTTATTACATACATACATAAGAGCTGACCTGTGTTCCTTTGATGATGACGGTGTGTGCGGGGAGGTTGACCCCCCAGGCGAGCGTCGCGGTGGACACCAGGACCTGGATGTGTTTATCGGCAAACAGCTCCTCAACCAGTGTCCTGTCCACTCGGTTCATGCCGGCATGGTGGATGGCAAACCCGTAGGACAGGAGGTCCTTCAGCTCCGGGTTCTGTGAGGAACGTTGGGACAGACTGGTGTTTGGAGAGCAAACTGAAGGCAGAGATTCGACTACAATTTAATGGCAGAAGATGATACGTGATGTGAAGGGTACATATGTACATACAGAGAACAGTTAATGCAAGAAAGTGGGTCATATGAAAACTGAGAATTTAGTGGTGATTAAACTTCCACGGGTTTTCCCCTGCTGCTGTGCAGTGCCTTCCTCCCCAACACAAACACGCAGGCACATACACACATTGCACATTTGATTAGCCTTCCAACTGCAAATTTCACAATTCCTATTGCATGCAGAGCCTGGCCTCACCTTAGTTTGCTCGGCCTCGGTCCTCAGGACCTCGGTACTGGCCGAGTCCTCCTTCAGGAACAGTCCCAGCGTGTCCTTCTCCAGACACATGTCTCGGATGGCCCGCGCCGTCTTGGACGTCTCTTTACGGGAGTGGACAAAGATGAGGACCTGGTTCCTCCCCGCGTTCTCCATCACCTTCTCATACACAATGTCGTTCATCACCTGCAGAAAAACAGAACACCTGTAACTCAGTGCACATGTATCTACTAACTAAACTATATGCACCACTGCACTTTGTAGACCATGCTTTTCATAGTTAGTGATTCTCAGTAATGTGTGTACAAATCTGCTATCTATCTGTGTTCCATCGAGGCTCACTTCATAGTGTTAAGAGCAAGGAAGAGAGAAAAATGCTGCACTGGTGTGCATGCTCTCTAAGCTATCATTAGCACTTTGCATAGTTGTTGTAACTAACCTGGAATCGTTTGAGAGCCTTTTTCTCTGTGATTCCGATGTACGTCTGCTCCAGCGGAACGGGACGGTAGCTGTTGTCGAAGTAGTACAGACCTTTGGCAGGATCCACTCGCAGGAAGGTGGCCACATCCTATTGTATGCAGGGAGGGGGCAAGGGAAGAAAGGGGAGAGAATAAGAGTGAAAGAGAGAGAGAGGAGGGGGAGAAAGAAGGGAGGAACTAAAGGGAAAGTGAGAAAGGAGAGAGAGGTATACCTATGTATGTGTAGTTCAACTCATGACTACACTTATGAATGTGTGTATGGTGTGTGTATACAGTACCTCGTAGTTGGGAAGGGTGGCAGAGAGGCCAACTAGTCTGATGAGCTCCTGGGTTGCCTCGATCTGGCGTATGGTCCGAGCCACAATAGCCTCCAGGACAGGACCTCGACTGTCGTGCAGCAAGTGGATCTCATCCTGAGACAAGTAGCAACACACACACACACTTACTCAATACTTGTGTTAGGAATCTAGAGTCCTATATACTATGGTACAGTAAGGCTAGCAGAGAAAGTCATGGTAGTAATAATATTGGGAGCTTTGACTACAACACAGTTTTAGGCTAGGAAAGAGAGAGGAAAATAGAACTTCAATTGAACCGTCTACCTGTATAAAGTAAAGCTAGAGAAAGAAGTTCAAAATGTTAGTGTAAGGTATATACACTCACAATGATGACGAGGCTGACAAGCTGGGTGTAGGTCCTCTCCCCGCTCTTGCGAGTTATGATGTCCCACTTCTCGGGGGTGCAGACGATGACCTGCGTGGCCATAATCTGCTCCTTGTTCAGCTGGTGATCGCCCGTCAACTCGCTCACTGTCACTCCGTACGGCACCAGACGCTGCATGCGCAGAAGACTGACTCACGACAGCATACGTACACATGCTAAGCTAATTCATCAACTATCTGTAACCCAACTTTCAAGGGAACATTACTGCCTCAACAGTTATGATTAGCCTCGTGTTTTTCGCATAAGCCATTGCTCATGGTACACTGCCATATGCTCACTAGCAGCGCACCTCCATTTCTACAAAAGCACTCACAAAAAACCGGATGTAAAAAAACAGCTCCCTACACATGTTCTAGGATCTACATAGTGAGTGTATATAGTAGTATGTAGTACCTTGGAGAAGTTGGCGACCATCTCCTGTACGAGGGACCTCATGGGAGCGATGTAGATGACCTTGAACGACTCCAGATTGACAGTGTCATCGGGGTTCATGTGTTTGTGGAGCTCTCTCAGGATGCAGAGGAGAGCTACGTTGGTCTTTCCAGCACCCTGGGACACAACACGGTGGACGACGGTTAAGACACTTGCTTCAGCTTTTTTCCCCCCTATTTGATGGACACGATACCTATCTATAGAACGGTTTTATAGCCTGTAAGCCAAGTGCACCCCTTCTGCTGTCTGAATTGCTCTATCTCTGTTTGACAGCGCTACAGTGGCCAGTCAGCAAGGCAAAAACACAACAGGTAACGTTCTATGCACTAGCTTCTAAAATAGTATGCTGCATTAACTCTAGTACACTAGGTCAACGGTATCCTGGTGTTGGAGGAGAGAGAGAGAGACATACAGTGGGGGCACAGAGGAGGATGTTTTCGTCCGAGTGGAGGGCCGTCTCTTGGAGTCTGGTCTGTATCCTGTTGAGGGAGCGGTAGTTGCTGAACGCTGCCTGCGCCCACTTTGGCAGCTCCACAATCGCCTTCAGTGACTGAGAGAGAGACAAACACTTTGTAACACACATAATTATTCTGCAGCAATTTTTTAAAGGAGAGAATATCAGTACAATTATGGACGGTAAATACATCCGTTTGCCATCATCTACTCTAACCCACAACCCTGTTCCCTTATAGCATAATATAGGCTAGTTAGAGTTACACTACTCACTGATCACCGTGCTATGTATAGTGAAGGGCGTGAGCGTATCTATGGAGCAAACCTCTTTCACGTCAAACGGTTTAGGTTTGAGTGCGGGGACGTGGACCTCCTCGTATCCCTTCTTGGTCTGTCTGAAGGAGCCTCCCGGGAGCTGGCATCTCTTGTTGGCCATGAAATGACTCCCGTCCGTGAACACCAGGTCCTCCAGGTCCAACACCTCCTCGACCCCAGCTGCAGAGGACACAGGTGTAAAGAAGTCACGCAGACAAGTTGTCACAGTAAATGAGACTCATTGATATCCCTCATGGATATTATCGATAGCAAATAATCTTTCACTCACCCCTTTCTTCTCCTGGAGGTCAGCATTCTCGGCGTCGAGGTCTGACTCCATCCGAGATTTTCGCACAGCGGCTTTCCTGGCTCTCTCCTCCTGAACAATGTCCTCTGACTCCACCATTGACAGGGCCTGGTGTGAGGAAAAGAGAGAGAGAGAGCAAAGAGAAGATGAGGGAGACAAGAAGTATATAAAATGAAAAGGAATATTGTATGGAGGGCGGAGACACCTCTTCTGTTCAGCATTTTAAGTCCATTTTAACTCTTCATCGTAATGTGCAATGCACACTGTATATACTATAATGAGGAGTGGATGCTTTATTATACATGTGTGCCGAAAACCACCGCACTATATATTTGGTGCCACAATGAAGTGTTCTTTGGAGTTAACCAATCTCATAGGTGAATGCATACCTTGAGGATGGCCTTTTTCTCGGGGTCTGCACTCATCTCCTCCTCGATCCTCTCCCTGTCGGCATCGCTCTCTGCCTTGGCCAGCAGAGTGCAGTAGAGCACAGTCCACCTGTTCTTTGACAGCACCTACACCGACACACCACGCGCAGTAGAACAACGCTGTAAGAGTTTATCGTGCCATAGCACAGTTGTTAGTTTGCTTGAGGTTTGCTTTTGTTTTGTTCGTAGTGTTGTAGATATGAGCCCTGCCTGCTGAGCTGCCCTAGTGTACTAGCTCAGTGGGTAGAGTGCCCTGTCTAGACTGCAGAGTTTCGTGGGCTCGATTCCCACCAAAGGCAGCTCTTCTTTCTTGGAATTACCCCAAGTGTCTATATAATTATAAACTGCTTACTTTGCCCTTGCCTCGTGACCTCATTGATGTTTTACAAGCAGTGTATATAGCCAGCTCTACACAAGCGGAACACCACCGCACCCTGTGTGGTCATCTCCCACCTAACTCACACCTCGTGCCCCTACACCACTAACGCTCGCTACCTTGATGAACTGAAACTGGTCATAGCCGAGGAGGAGGACAAGCTTGTTCTCGCAGTCTCTGATGTCGCCGGCTCCCTGGAGAATCTCTAGGACTTCGTCCGCCTTCTTCAGACTCACCTGGACAGAGGAGGAGGGGAGGGAAGAGGGAGAGGAGAGGGGAAGAGAGGGGGAGAGGGTTTTACTACCACACCTGTCACTCTGTGCGTCCCAAGGCCAACAGCTGGCAAATGGGATTTGTACTCCGTATTCTTTCTGTTTTGTGACAGGGATTACAATTTTTGGTTGATAAAGTTCGCACGGCGTTGTAGTATGTTTCCTCCAGTGTGCAGCATTTACCATACTACACCTACATGTCTCACGCCAGATAGCAACACTAAAAAGGTGCTGTCACATCGTCACGCACGCGAGGGAGGCCCACTGCGTACACAGTGTATATCGAGAGCATTTCAATACATCCACTAGACTGCACAATGGGTCTTTGAGCAACTTGTTTATGCTCTCCTCTGCAGGCCGGCCCTCAATAGGCGTCCACAACTCGTGGCGCCAGTTTCTCCTTGCTTTCTCCGCCCGCGGCCCTCTCGGCGTCAATCACTCCGTGAATGAATGACCCCTCGAACGCTGCCTCCCCTTCCCTTCCTCCTCACCTGCTCACAGAGAAACACACTGTATAGAGCGATGTACACACATATCAACTTTATAGGTGGTGTGCATGAGATGTATGTAGGTATATTAAGACATAACACATCTATCCAGCGTGCTCTGAACTATGTACAAAAATATCTGTGTCTAGTACATGTACAGACTGCGTATGCTCGGATTTGTCAGTGTGTGAAAGCAGCTTGTTGATCAGATGTTTACACTAGGAATGTCGTATGAAACTGATGCGGTGTATGCTACATCTGTATATTAACCATGAACTCACGTTACCACCTGTGTGAACCAGGTGAGAAAGCACAAGCACGCATGCGCGCTACGATGACTTTGACACCATGATCGCGCTTTACTGATGGCATTCCTCTCTCCCTTTTTGCTGTTTTGTGCTCTTGTTTTTTGTCTTTGTTTTTTGTCCCCTCCCTCCTCCCGGCTCGTCTCCCTGTGTGTCCTCACGTCGCTGGGTCCTGCTCCGATGGCCAACACAGTCTCTGTACCTTCCTCCTCCTCTGCCCTCCTCCTCTGGAACACCATCCGCCACTCTAGCATAGTTCTCATCTATGGTCATCAGCTGCTGCCGAGGAAGAGGAGAAGGGGAAAGATCAGACAGCATCAAGCCGATCATAAACAATTACACAGGACATCATGACATCTTAAACGAGACACACTGCACGATCAGGGCTAAGGACTGATAGCTGCGGTTAGAGACGACGTTTCAGGCTCACATCTCGTAACTGAGGTCGTGATAATGAATGGCACTAACATGGGCCGAGTGGTATTCCTCTACATGCTCCATCTCCCTCCACTTTCCCAAGTGGCCAAACAATTACATCTCATTCACTCCATTCTCCGCGACTGGCCGAGTAGATCCTCCCACCCCCACCTCCCACGACCCCTGCCACACCCATCGACCCTTCGCCACACCCGCTACCACTACATACCCACAACTGTATGTATGTGTATGTGTATGTACCATGGCAGTGTTAGTACATGAAACACCTCAGTACACCCCCTGAATTGAACCTTTTCTTTCCCAAAGAAAGGTTCTTTGAACTCCATAACGAGAACACCTCACTAATGTACACATTCTCTGCATCCACGACAGGGTCGTGATTAGTCAATGTAAATGCTGCAGTGCCACTCACTCTCCATAGCGGCGCCTTGTCAGTCCGTAGTCAGTGATGCGTCGACCGAGCCGCGAGCGCATGGCCAACCGTCTCGTCGTCCAGAGCTCCTAGCAGCGAGGATATCTCCTTCTTCTTCTCCTCTCTGTTTTTTGTTTGTCTTCATGTCGTCGGCCTTGAGCGTAGCAGACCTCGCTGCCGCTCCGCCCTCTCCTCACAGAACATCACGAGCGTGACACAGAGTTACACACAGTGAACTACAGCTTCATGGGTCAGTCAGTATAATATTATTCATGAGTGCACACGCGGACAGCCTAAACCATATTTCTCACCGAATACAGCGTCAGCATTAATGCTTTGTAGTGCACAACAACCTTTTTAGGGCACCAACACATGAGAGACTGGGAAAGTAAGGCTGACGTCAAACGCAGTAGAGAGAGTCCTGTCAAAATGAGGCATTGGGCAAGGTGGCACTTTACACGGACTCCGATAGTATACTCAAGATCTGTGTGCTGTACTGGTCTCCAATCCATCTTCGGGATGAAGCTGAGGCGGATTCGTAGTGGATTTTCGTCTCTCGGGTCCGAGAGTTCGGTAGTAGACGCCGCTCAGCTCCTCCATCTCAGACGAGAGGAGGCTGGAGCCTTTGGCTATGACCGGGTAGTCCTCTGCCGGCTCACTGGTCGTCGAGACTTCTGGGAGGATGAGGCACGGTGTGGGGAGCGAGATGGATATGACGGTGAAATAAACGTCTCGACCACTGTTGTTTCGCTACTACATGTACCTGTCTTAATCTCTACTAGGCAAATATCTAGTACGATGATAGTCAGTTCTGGTCTGAGAGGGAGAGAAAGGGCGGATCGAGCGAGAAAATTGCCATTATAAAAACCCAAAGATTAAGAGTTGCCATATATCGTGCGAAATTGACACTCCTGCATATTAGACACAGCCTCTACCCACCTAGGACTACCAGTAGCCAGGGCTGGAAAACACAATCGAACGCCCATAGTGAGATAGACTCTACAGTGCCAAGCCTTTGAACAAGGATCAAACCTCTGCCCCGCTCTCACTACTCGCCACACCATCAAAGTGGCCTTGCTGAAAACTGGAGTTAAGGGCGAGAAATCCACACCTGCAATAGAGCCAGGCCCTGAGTGTGGGTTCTAGGTTGGTGGTGGGTGGCAAATCGCCTCGGAATTCGGGTCCGTGCTGACTCACTGCTTCTTTGCGCTTGTCTGCCTGTGGTACAGGTGGCGTGTTCTCTCTCGGCGCGGTCTCACCCTTCCTGGTCCCGTCAATTTGCCGACCAGCGTCTGAACTCGCCGTTGCCTCATCCTCCCTCGTTTGTCGTCGCGACATGTGGCTTGCAACAAGGTTGGAGGGTCTGGGGAAGGGGAGGGGAACAACACAAAATTGAGTAATTTTGAGGCCGTAACTGTTAAGATGGTAAGGTCTTGATTGCATGAGTTATGTGTGTCCCTTTTTCTGGCTAATGCTATAATGCATGGTTACCGCCTTGTTTTAGTAATGAGCTCTCTTTCCCACAGTATTGCCATTTTTATTGGCTTCATTCACAATAACTTGGGTTTTATAAGCCTAAAATAAAACGTGAAGGAACGCAGGATCGACGAGGTTCGTCCAACGTGCTCGCGTAAGAATACACGACAAGACAAACCTCATTGAAAGCGACGGTGGATTATATTCTAAATTAATGCCTACATTCTCACTTACGGCCTTGTATTAGTACTGAAGCGACCTGGCGCTGTCGGACCGCCATCTTGTCCCCCTCTTATTCGTACAGTGACTGGCTGAAGCAGCAGTCTTGAATGAGCTTCATGCTCAGAAAAGGAAATTGGGAAGACGAGGAGCACCACAGCACAACGTACGACAAAAGTGTGAGGCGGTCGGAGGTTAGCCACCTACTTTACTAGCCCCAACTTTTTTTATATTGGAGCCAAAACATTATTACACTCCGCATAATTGTAGCTTTCATACGGTGTTAGTATATGGAGCGTTGCAAGGCACTGGCAGTGATAGAGTTTGAATAACTGCGTATACGTCGCTAGAGAAGAAGAAAGGATACCATGACCGAGATAGACGTTCAGGAAAAAGATTGAAATGCTGGCACGCAGCGACCTAACAGGAGGGCAATGTTGTCAAGAGGAGAGAGGGAATTTTTTTTTTCTTCCACCGTAACCAAAAAGAAGATCAAGTTCGGCGAGGTTCTGCCGCCTCACGCGCCACTCGCTTGGACTACTTCGACCCCCATCCCAAGACAGGTGAGCATCAGTGCCTGTATAGGACAGCTGCTGTGTGAGCATCAGTGCCTGGAGGGGCCGCTGTGCGTGTTGCAGGTGTGCTGCGCTGAGACTGCTAATGCTCGTTGGCGGCTCCAAGCGACGCAGGCTGTGCTAGTGTTAATAGTCCAGTACCGATAGTGGCAAAACAAGCTTCGACCGGTGTCTGGTGCATTGCACCGAGTTTAGAAAAACGTGCATGTCATCGCATCCCTCTCTACAATGATGTTCGGTGTATGTAGTTGCTTGTGCCCACCCAATACATGTCCTCCAAGGCGTTGCCTGCATGATCACACCAACATTATGGCAATACTTTACCGGACCGAAGCTTATACAGGTGTATGGCAGCTTTATAGCTGTGTGCTGCCTATATTGAATTATAGGCCTGTCTTTTTAGGGAAGTTTAGGTGGCCTCACGAATGTTTTTGATGTGAGGAGGGGATCACCATTGTAGCGCGATACTCAAACTCGCTGATTGGCTGAATATTGAAGCCTAACGGAGTTAACAGATATCACCCACCCTGGCCAACATGTTGCAATTGTTTACTGCATTTAGTACACATGCAGAAATTTCTCAGAGGTATTGACGCGAGAATTTACCTCTTATGAGGACACTTGGCAATTTCCCCTATCCTCACAGAAACAGTGAGGCTCGTTGGGTTGATTTTATCTAAAATGGCCCCTAAATTTTACTTTTGGGCCCGGAAATGGAAAAACAAATAGGGTGTCAGTTTAAAGTACAAACAGAAAGCATATGTTGTGCGACATGTGTGAATGCGGGCAACGAGTGTTTTGTAATGACATTTTTGTGGCTACGAAATCGTGCTTTGTGATCAGCAGTGATATGCATGCACGCGTGTTTATTTGTTTACTTACATTGTTTCCCCTTGTGTATTGCCGAGGTATTCTACCGACAAATGAGCACGCTCTGTTGTACTGGAAAGACTAGTCAAGTTTTGCTCATTAGTCGCTTCCTTAAAGCACACACGCAACCCTTCTGTTCCTGCAAATCATGTTTCCCAATTAAAATGATCGGAGTTATAGGAAGCAAGTGGGTCTATCATTGGACAGCATTGTAGTCTGACGTTTATGGACTGTGTGTGGCATTTCCATCCAGATGGCACATAATGAAGGAGTCATTTTCCAATTATTCCCTGCTAGTGGACCTAATTCTGGGTGCACATGCAGCTCCAGAGTGCCATGCATGAGGGTTATTTACCTGTGCCCATGTAAACGGGCATTATGTAGCTCTGTAGTGTGAGTCCTCTGGCCAGTTCTGGCAGAGATTTTGGGATGGCGGGTTTTCGTGGCACTGTTTCACAGTTTAAGAACTCTAAGGCAGATAGTTATAACCTATACATACATACGTACATACATACGAGCATTCTGGGTCTAGAAATCTCTCTGTCTCTAAATGTTTTACTCTGGAATATGCAATCTATGTGACGGGTGACCCCAAAGGGCGTTTGCTGTTGCAGCAAGATCGAGTCTGTCGAAACAATGCCTGTGAGATTCTTTGGAAGGACTACGCCCACCTATATCCATTCCAGGTTTAATAACCTATCCCCACCAGCCCGAAAATGAAATGGAGTCTTTATGCATAGTAAGTGTGCTATCATGTTGAAAATGCATCCGAAGCAGGAAACAGTAAAATGATATGTTTTGAAAGGCAAGATGAGCTTTCTACCCCCAAGGGTTGGAGCCCGTCGGGGGTGGGTGGAAGAGACAAGGAAGCAATCTAGAATAGGGTGTGGAGTGGTTTGTTGACACAATTGTGTTGGTAAGTGTATATTTGTCCCTTTTTGTAACTGTGAACCTGGTTTAAACAAGCAATTGGACCTCGTCGGCGGTGATTGATTGAAATACCATAACATTCTCTCTACAATCTGCTTTGCGTATGCTGTGTGTGATCTTGGATGGTGTGGGGGCGACGGCTATCCTCTATTGTTTATCTGCGAGCATTATAGTCAGGTGTCATTTTCACAACACACAACAAAAAAGGAGGGGACACTCTTATCTTACAATTGCTTGTGTTACCTGAGGTATTCTCTCTCATACTCATACAAATAATTATTAACCGGTAGTGAAGTATGGGGTTGTAAAACAGTGTCAAATAGTACCCCACGCG